GAGTGGACCGTGTAATTAATCGTTGTTCAAGAAGTCAAAGGTGCATTGATTGTGTTCAAACACAAGTTTTTCCTCGCCGGAAAACAAATTGGCACACCCGGTGGGACTATGTGTGTTTGATTTGATGGCTACACGACTGAGAGAACAGGAAGGTGATATTTCACCAGGAGTTGGGAAGGAGTTGGCTTCCAAGTTCAAATTTGGCCAAGCATCAGTAAGTGTTGTCGGAAACAATGGCATGATTGAGATCTTGCCACCGGCGTCGCCTTGTGCCGATGTAACCACCACTGCCATGTCACTCCGCTCAATAGTGGATGATAACTGCAAGATGGTGGTGGAGAACCGTCAAGTGATGGTGGAGATCCGTCGATTGATGGAAGAGAGTTTGAATGGACTTGTTAGAAGTTCACAACAGACAAGTCTAAAACTTGCTTCTTTTAGTTCTATGTTAGATAGACGTTTGGATGAATTGTTTGAAGCAACTACAGAAAATACAAATTGCTTGGATAAGCTTAAAAAATATTTTATAGAAACAGTGGTGCGAGAAATTTCTTTACCAAAAAATGGTATAGATCCGCCACCAAGTATTGCTACTGAGTATACAAGTATCCTGTTCTCCGGTGGCCGGACTACCCAGCCACGGTCAGGGAACTTACCGCCTCCGGCAATGAGTCAACCACCTCTTCAACAAGGAGATTATGACAAGAATATTACTAACGCATTCACCACTCATGTAAAGCAACCTCCTGTGCCAACAGTTACTCATAAAACTGTCTCAGAGGCTAGACCATGCTTGAACGTGAGAGTCGGTGGAGGGTTAATAGCTGATGTGCTACCACAAGCTTGCCCAACCTCGATGTCATCTATGCTCGAACGGCCTGGTGGATGCAAACCGCCAGGGGGGCATGCAGAGGGCCATGGAAGTTTACCTAACAAGGTGAAATGTCAGCCTGGGGGGCAAGTTGACGTCAAGAAAATTGAACAAATGGGTGTGTTCAACAAAATACCATATTTGTTGTCTGGAGATGGCATGGGGGGTATGTCATCAACCACAAGCAGTGGGTTGACAGTTGTGAGGAACAAGCCACAACAAGCTCAAGCCACATGTGTTTCCAGCAAGCCTGATGGATACAAACCATCAAGGGGACAGCAAGGAAGGCATGGTAGCCTACCACCTGACAAGTTGAAGGTCAAGTGTCAGGCTGGGGGACACGTTGATGTCAAGAAAATTGAACAAAAGGGTGTGTCCAAAAGAATACCATGTTTATCGTCTAAGGATTACATGAGGGATATGTCATCAACCACGAGCAATGGGTTCAAAGTTGTGTCCAAGAAGCCATTACAATCCCAAGCCACATGTGCTGCTAATAAGAATGTTAGCGTGGCTAAGGGGGGCAAGGGGGACATGTCTCCATCTTCACGCAGTGGACAGGGGGGCATGTCATCAAACATGAAGAATAGAGTGAGTGGCAAGTCTAAGTGGGTGTTGCCTACCCATGCCACCTATGATTTTCATAACTTTGACGTGTCAAAGAGTGCACATGAAGGCAAGGCTCCTTGTAGCATGCCACCCATGAATGGTCGACAAGGGGGCATGTCACCAACCACAAACAATAGACAGATAGACGTGCCCAAGAAACAACAACAAGCTCAAGCCACACATGCTTATAGTAAGCATGGTAGTTTAGCTAAGGATGACATGGGGGGCATGTCATCAATCACAACTAGTAGGTTGATAGGTGTGCCCAATAAGCCACAACATGAAGCCACACATGCTTTTAGTAAGCATACTAATATGGCTAAGTCTGGCAAGGGGGGCACGTCAACAATCATGAATAATGGTATGGGGGGCATGTCTCCAACCAGTGGACAAGGGGGCATGTCACCGACCATGGAGAAACAAGTGGGAGGAAATTATAGGAGTGTTCATCACACCCAACCCACTCAAAAAAATTCTAAGTATGAGATGGTGTTAAGGGATGGACGAGGAAGCAAGTCCATGCCTAAAGCCCCTAATTGCATGCCAAACATGAATGGCAAACAAGAAGGCATGAATAAGACATCTCGACACACACCAACCAATCATGGTCCTATAAAGAATCAAGGGTTGTTATGTGTTAAGTGTAAAAATCATGAAGATATGGGTTTTAGAAAGAGTCAAGTTGGCCACAAGGGTGGTCGTCAACTCTGTAAGTCCAAACACCCATCTTCTCAACCATATGGGAAGAGTAAGCATGTGCCAAGTTGGGGTAAAATAAGACAGATGACAACTCTTGGCCCCTTTGATGAGTCGAAGGAGTTGAAAATGTCTAGTGCACCACCCAGGACGAGACAAACACATCGGGTTCAACATCAACCCAGCATGTCTAGTAAGGTGGCCAAGGCAGTGGACCCTTGCAAGCCCACTAAGACAGGGCAAGTTGAGAGGATGCCATCCATTGTTAAGTTGGAAAATTTGAAACCAACACCAAATGAGTTATTTCCCTTAACGTAGGGAAGACAAGTAGTGTATGGATGGTTGGTCTGGTTTAACCCATGGACTTGGCAGTGGCTGTACACCTTTGGCACGTTGGTGGGTGCGAAAGGGCATGGATATTAGTGACGTTTGTCACTCTCTTTTATATTAAAATAAATAAATAAATATAATATTAGTAAAAAAAGAAGAAAAAAGGAAAATCATAAGCCAATCATGGCTAAAAAATATGAGGTCAAAGTGACAAGTTTTAGTTAGATTTATGGTGTGAGTACCTGGTCATGACTGGTAAGCCACAACCATGTGGTGGTTGGATCCATGCCACTTACATGGCATGAGCAAGTGACTGGGTGTCTGGTGTAGACCTTTCACTGTCCATACCACCCGACCCAATGTGGCCTACTTGTTAAAAGATTTAGATGGTGTGTTTCATGATCGATTAATCAATGGCAAGTATCTCAAGCCTTATGTCCCTTCTCTTTGGGACGTGAGGTGTCAAGGGGTTCAATGTTGGGCGGCCACCACGGTGGCCGGCATGCCAAGCCTCCCACACCCTAAGACATGGCATGATACCCTCGTGATAAAGCATGGCTTGAGTAGCTAGCCATGACATGGAAAGGAAATTGAGCTAGTTAAGTTTTACTTCCTTCTGGCGGGGCCTAGCATTCTATAAAAGGCTATGGGTGCATGGATTTGTAATCAAAGCCAAAATTTGGCTAAGGAAGGTGGTGCCGAGATAAGTATTATTTTTAGGTGGTCAAGTTGAGTTCAACAACTTAGTGCATAATTCTTATACACTAAGTTGTGGGGGGCATTTGTTTACCCATAAAAAAAATCAGCTTGTACCACATCGATTAATTACAAAGGGATTAATGGATTTATAAGGCCAGCTCAACATTAATAATTAAAAGAGCCAGCTGGACCTTGATGGGTTGAGTTTTTGGGCCTAAGTGGCCAAGCTCTTCTCCATACACGATGGTCGACCCGTCTCCGTGGCCCCCATATCCGGATGATGCCTTCACCCCTTGGTATTAAATTTGGCTCCCAAAAAACTAAGTCTTGGAAACAAGGCGACACAACGGGGTGCCAAACGGCCGGGTACCAAGCCGAATACTAAATAGGAGGCCATCCAAAAACTAAGTCTTGGAAACAAGGCGACACAACGGGGTGCCAAACGACCGGGTACCAAGACGGACGGATATCATGGAAACAAGGCGACACAACGGGGTGCCAAACGGCCGGGTACCAAGCCGAATACCAAATAGGAGGCCATACAAAAACTAAGTCTTGGAAACAAGGCGACACAATGGGGTGCCAAACGACCGGGTACCAAGCCCTCAAGGAGGGCCTGGTACCAAAGTATATGAGAATTGGCTAAGTATAGAGCCATAGGGGTATCAAGCCGACAGGCTTGGCAGCCAAGCAAGGCGACATGGTACCATGACCCCAAGGGGGTATCAAGCCGGCGAGACTGACTTGATGGCCAGGCAACAAGGGGCCAAGCAAGACGGACTTGATAGCAAGACATCAGGTATCAAGCCAACAATGGTATCAAACAGAGCCCCTTGGGGCCATATGGAGACTAAGTCCCAAGATGGGCATGATGGCCCCTAACGGGGTACCAAGCTGGCCGAGTGCAAGATACCAAGATGACATGTTAGTGCCATGACAATCACTCTAAGACTAAGTGTGGAGACCTGGGGGTAAAGGGGCCAAATTCTTGTCCTGCCTAGGAGGGTAATATGGCCTAGCTATCAAGACGGTTCATCGAGGTGGCTATCAAGACGAGGAGCATGGAGCCATCAGGGATGTCGAGGATGTGATCAAGACTTCATCATGGAGGCTAAGGCAAATAACCTCAACCCCATCCAGTTATGACAAGGCGACAAGGCTCAACACCAACCCGACCCGGCATCGAGGCCATCAAGTACCCACCAACCCCAAGACGGGACAAGGGCCTCAAGGCGACGGTTATCAACTAGTCACCAAGGCGGCGACAAGGACCCCGAGGCGGTTTGGAGCAAGAGGCCAGCTAGCAGTTACCAAGGCGGTTACCAAGGCAGTTACACCTAGTGGCTATAAATAGGAGAAACAAAGACGGGAAAAGGGTTCCACAACCAATCATTTGACGCACAATGTCAAACTTTATCTTTTCTCTGCAAATCAGTTTTTAGTTTTTCGGAGCTCTCACTGAACCTCCATAGGAGTAGAGTAACTTAGATTATTCCCAAAAACCATCAAAAACATCAAACACCCTCGTTCGAACATTGTTCGGAGAGGAGTGGACCGTGTAATTAATCGTTGTTCAAGAAGTCAAAGGTGCATTGATTGTGTTCAAACACAAGTTTTTCCTCGCCGGAAAACAGAATGGAATTAATGGCATAATGTATCATATAGTTTTTTGCAAGCGAATGATCCACTCACCAACTAATCAAATTTATGGATCGCAAAAAAAAAAATTGACACACATTCACCCACGACCATTATAACCACCGAAACTCATATCGCGTGGGTTATAATTGGGTGGATTCGAGTGGGTTTAGTGGTTTACCCATCTATCTAAATGACCCGGCCCTTGCAGTGAATGCGACTCAGCTGCCCTCTTCTTATCACTTCGCTCGCTTCTCCTTCCTCCCGAGTCCAAAACCGATAATCACTCCTCGCAGCCCTTCCGTCGGAGCAGTCAACGAAATCACATCCCATGGCGACCTCATCCGTCTCCGCTTCGAGATTCGGTTCTCTCGCCTTCTCCCCCAATCCTATCTCCTCTCCCGAACCCCGGAAGCTCGCTCTCCCCTTCCGCCCTCTCGGCTCAAGGTTCTCCTCCCTCCTCTCCGTGTTGCTCACTTTTTTATGCGCACTCTGGTTCACTCACTGTGTTCGCTCTTTACTTGTAGGAAGCTGAGCAAGTCGACCTGCGATCAAATTAATCTGCGGACCGCTGCTTATTCCGGCTCCGGCCGGTTGTGGACGCCCGAGACAAGTTCTCGGCGCGGAATTTGGTCGATAAGGTAGGGTTTTTTGAGTTTTTGGTTTTGTTTCGGGAGATAATTCGCGTTTGCGCTTCCTGTAAGCCGAATCTCCGTTTTCCACCTTTTGTGCAGGGATGATTTGGAAGTTCCAGCATCGCCATACTTGCCTACGTATGCCAACGGTAGAGGCGAAGCTCAGGGACCGCCTCCAATGGTTGCCGAACGGTTTCAGAGCGTGATTACGCAGCTTTTCCAATATGTGAGCCAACAAAAATTTTGCGGGTTTTCTAACTTTCCAGCTTTGTGTTGTTTGAGTGGTTAGATTTGTTCCCTGGTTGACTGTTGTGCTTTTTGATGGGAAATTATGTTGATTAGAGAATTATAAGATGTGGTGGTGCCGTTGAGGATGATATGGCAAACATTATTGTTGCTCAGCTCCTCTATCTCGATGCTGTTGATCCTAATAAGGTCAGTGTATTACTAGTTCGTAGAAGATTATTTCAATCTTTCCTTTCTGAAGTTGATTTGGAGTCCATTTTGTATGCTTTCCTTCTGCTGCGATGCGGTTTATGATGCATTCGGCAAAGAAATCATGCATGGTATCACTGTGATTAGTTGGCTGCAACAGTTTGAGAACTTATTGAATTGCCTAGTAAGTGTGTTTTTATGGTTTCCCTCTTTCCAAACAGGATATTGTCATGTATATAAATTCTCCAGGAGGATCAGTTACAGCTGGTAATGCCAATATCCTATTTCCCTTTCTCTTGTGCCTTCTTCAAAGTTTTGTTCTGATTTCCACACTGTCTGCAGTATGCTGAAGATTTTTTCTCTTTCTCTTGTACTTGACGTTTGTTTGCTTACTTTTCATAGGTATGGCAATCTTTGACACAATGAGGCATATCCGACCTGATGTCTCTACTGTCTGTGTTGGACTAGCAGCTAGGTAACAATATTTGATGGTTTTTAAATTGCTTTTGTCAATGTCATGCTTCATCCTCTACCTGCTTGCTTAATGCTCTCCTGTCTTGGAATATAGACAATTTCTGTATGCACTATTATTAAGACACCTGGTAACCCTTTTCATCAGCATTCTTCAGATATCTAGGAATTGGTGTGGTACAATTGGGTTCATGCTCAATCTAGTATTACTTATTTTTTATTTGCTTGCTTATTAACTTTGCATTAGAATTTTCATGTTTAATAGCAGTTGAAGACTTTGAAATTTCAGATTATCAGGCTTAGATCTGCTTGATCATGCACAAATAGAGTTGGAAGTTCACAGTCGTCCCCATCCCTATTCTGAACCCCTGCCGAAACCTTATACAAAACTTTGTATCTGAAACTATTAAAACCTTAGCACTTTGTATAACCCTTGAGAGAACTACTCTCTAATATTGCCTAGAGACAATGGCAAAGTGAATCTTAATTCTTTATTAGTAATTATTTCTGCACACAACCCTCTAGAATGCCATGCATTCATTGTGTTCCAAGTTGATATGATCATATATGACTCTCTATTGCATCCCAGGATTCCTTGATTTCATAATGATAGTTCCAGAATCTCTAGGTGCTATGCAAGTCTAGAATAACACCAATTTGGCAAGTACTGCTTAGAAATTGTTAGGATGTTTATTGACCTAATGAAAATTGAAGGGCCATCTCTAAATATCTCGGTGATCTGCTTATGCTAATATATAAGATTGTGGACATGGGACTAGCTCGAGTCCATCTAGATAAGTTAACTGTACCACTGGGGTTTGAAGCCAAAACCACTTAGCAAGGGTTGATAGATGGCATGACCGTTAAATTGATTCCAATTCTTAGGTTTGATCATGTCTAGCAAACTGAACAGAGTTCCTATGCAAATCATTGAAAAGAATTCACAGCAAATGATCGGGTCTTGTTTCGACATCTTGAATTTGTTCTTTTCTTTATTGCACCTGTATGATACATATGTCTCCTTTGCTGTTGTTGTGACTGTCATACTCTGTTCTTTTCTGTATTGCACCTGTATGATACATATGTCTCCTTTGCTGTTGTTGTGACTGTCACAGTATGGGAGCTTTCCTGCTTAGCGCTGGAACCAAAGGTAAGAGTCTCCATATACTTGAACCATAACTTAAAACTGATTGTTCTGGCCCTGAGCTATTTGTTCAAACGTCTTCTCTCTTTCCATCTTTCTATGTCTGAAGGTAAAAGGTACAGCCTGCCAAATTCAAGGATAATGATCCATCAGCCGCTTGGTGGAGCTCAAGGTGGCCAGTCTGACATAGACATCCAGGTATGCAATAATTTTTTTATGTTTTGAACTTAATCCATTCTTTCATGGAGTTATTTATGCTCTCTGAAAATGATGAATTGGTATGCCTGACTAGAGTAATAAAATTTCGTCAGGCAAATGAAATGTTGCACCACAAAGCAAACCTGAACGGGTACCTCGCCTACCATACTGGTCAAAGCCTCGACAAGATCAACCAGGACACAGACCGCGATTACTTCATGAGCGCAAAAGAAGCCCAAGACTATGGACTCATCGACGGGGTTATCGTGAATCCTCTCAAAGCTCTCCGGCCTCTGGAAGCTGCTGCGGAGCAACAATGACCTGGCCCTGTCGCTCGCCCATTGTGTTGCCTCCGTTGATGGTGCTCTGCATTCCTGTATTGTTAGCCAGATGAAATCATGTTTTCTATGACAACGTTTAAGAACAGGATTCAACAATTCACATATGGATATGGTCAATAGGAAAAAAAACTGGAAGTACCTTTTAGGACCTGGTTTATTCGGCAGTTTCGACTTTCTACATTTCAGTTTTTTTCAAACGTCTATGGGTCAGTCAGTGCGGAGAGTCGGGAAGGGAATAATAAGGTTATGGACTCGAGTTTCCCTACTCTCCTGCACCCTTTTATTTTTTTCGGGCCTTTCCTTGGCCAAGGTGACTCATAACTTCGTGTCAAGAAACCCCTATTTTAGAAAGGGAATGAGCTCGACATTTTGCAGATGGCAAACTTGCAACGACATTAACATATCACGAAGTTACCATCTTATGAGAACTTTTAACAAATCTTAAAATGTCGATATTTTTTAAATAACTAATCACATTTGGTTAAGTATGTGAGTGATTGTTAATTTGGACGACCTACATCTTTGACCATTAGTCGATAGGGTCTAACACAACCGATCAGGGCGTTCTCACTCAATTCATAGTAATGAATCGATTCAGTCTTGTGTTATCGATCCCCTTCTCCCAATCCATGGTGCTCTATTGACCTAATCAAGTATTCCCTCCCATAGGGTCAAAGCAGAATCAATAATCTCGGCTAAAACATAATTGAATAATGAAATCAAGCATAGATTGAATATGAACTCGAGAATATGAAAGTAAAGTACTCATACAATCATATGCAATAAACGCATGGTTAGAGGTCATAAAAACCTAAGTGAAGGAGAACTATTCCATAGAGAGGAGAGAGAATACAGTAAAAAGCTCCAAAATCTTCAATCTTCTTGTCTAGGCTTGATCTTCTAGCTCCAAGGGCGCTGGCAACCTCCAACTTTGCTCTAAGATCACTCCTAGATCGCTCTCCCTCTTTTTGGAACGCCCATTGGGTGTTTTTGGCCAAAAACCCGGCTCTCCCTCCTCCAGAATTGCAAAACAACCTTTATACTTGACAGTGCACGAGTCACTGTCACAAGTCACAACCATGATATAGACACATGCCGCGACATGGAGCCAAAACATGAAACCTAATACGGGAAAGGAAAAAAGATATAATTTTTTCAAGTATCGTCAAGACACATCAAATTTTAGCCACATTCGAACCAAATGAGAGGAGTGTACGTAGAATTTTCCAAAGAGTTTTAGTGAATGAACATAACTCATACTGACGAAATTGCATAATCGATTGATGTTATTTACAATGTTGCGTAACAAAATTGATTGATGTGCTACGAGATTGTGTGAAAATTAGGAATATTTGCATGAACATAAGTTTATCTATGACCATTAATTAAAATTGCACGGGAAAGTATAAAATACACCGTGAAAATTTTAACCAATTCCTTTGATTATAAGTTGTAACAGGAGGCATAACTCAAAACATAGAAATTTAGAATGTACTTTTAATGTACCCTTTAGTCAATAGCAATCAGAATCAGATTTTCAAATCTTAATAACTAAATAAATTTAAACAGGGGTTAGCTAGACAAACAAATCAAACAAAATTAACAAATAAAAACACACACACACATTCAATCAAATTAACCAACATTTCGACCCCCCACAAATTTGATAAAATTTCCCTCTCCCCTTGAACAACATAATAATAATAATTATTATGTCCAATTGAGCTGGTTGGCGATGTCCAAGCTATTGGTAGCCAAGTTTGTGAGCTTCTGCTCCATGTTGGTAACATTGGGCAGTGCATCCGAGTCTGGATCCTCGTCCATAGCGTCTTCGCATGTTGTTACGTATGTCAGCACTGAACTCAACATTGTTTGCAGCGTTTTTATATTGTGGTCAGTTATGGCCTCCAATGCACTATCCAAGTCCGTGAGTCCGCTGTTGAAGTTATCAACACAAGTGTCGAGTGCGCCCTTGTTCCACTTCCCATCCGACTCTTTCTTCATCTGCTTCACCTTGGCGATTGCGGTCGCGAAACCCTGTCGTACCGCTTGGACCTCCATCTTCAGGACTGACACCGGGTCCGTGTCCCCTGTGTAGAAGGGTGCGATGGAGCTCAAACAATCCTTGGGATACCGAGTCGACCCGCATACTTTCTGGGTCAAGACGGGGTCCATTGGGGTTGATGATGACGATGACGACGACGACGAAGAATTTTCCTTGTCGTCGTCGTCGCATTTCTCCTTCTCGTGTGACTTCTTCTTTTTATCACCATCGTCGTCGTCGCCGCCTTTGTCGTCATCATCTTCTGATTTCTTTTCCTTTTTGTCATCATCATCGTCGTCTTTCTCGTCGTGTTTTGATTTCTTTTCTTTTTTGTCGTCGTCATCATCATCATCATCGGATTTCTTTTTCTTGTCGTCATCATCTTCTGATTTCTTTTCCTTTTTGTCGTCATCATCATCGTCCGATTTCTTTTCCTTGTTATCATCATCTTCTGATTTCTTTTCCTTTTTGTCGTCATCATCATGGTCGTCACCTTTCTCATCAAGCTTTGACTTCTTTTCCTTTTTTTCATCATCTTCCGATTTCTTTTCCTTTTTGTCGTCATCATCATCACCGTCGCCTTTCTCATCCTGTTTTGATTTCTTTTCCTTTTTGTCATCATCATCATCGTCGCATTTCTCGTCCTGTTTTGATTTCTTTTCTTTTTTATCACCATCATCGTCGTCGCTTTTCTCATCATCTTTTGATTTCTTTTCCTTTTTTTCACCATCGTCACCATCTGAATTTTTCTCTTCCTTTTGTTTGTTGTCGCCATCACTACTTTTCTCGTTGGAGTTAGATGACGTTGTCTGTTGAGCATTTGAAATTTCTTTAGAGTTCTTCGAGTCATTAGCATCACCAACGGAGGGCAACGATATGTCGTGGGTTACATCGCGAGGGACACATTTAGCGTCGACATATAAAGCAAGAAGAAAAACGAGTGCGAAGAGAAGGAAAAGAGACCTTGTGGATACCGACAAGTGCTTCATCATTGTCAACGAAAGCCTTTCCTTTAGTTGCACCAAAATTTTTGCAAAAAAAGGAGAAAATTTTATGTGAAATTCAAGATAAGGAAATATATATGCATATGCAAAAGTCTATGTGCATTCGAAACGGGAGGGGAATACAGAAGTGAGGGGTGATGCTCAAAAACAGGATTGCCACCCAAAATTTACTTCTAAAAGCTTTGTGGAATGATTGAAAGGAAATAACTACATGAAAAAGTGAGGTCGGAGGGAAATCCGATTACTGTGCATATGAATATATCATTATGAACGTGAGTATCAAAAGTTATAAATTGTGGAGATCAATAATACATCAATGGTGAAGTATAAATTATTCATAAAAAATTTAAAAATATGTCTAAGAAAATATCAAAAGTTATATTATCATATTACCTCTAGACCAGACCAAGCCCTTATTGGTGAACTCGATTACTCAACAACTTGAATATAAGTTTTTATCTCTCTAAGCCATGCTAGCAACCGGTCTAAGTTTATGGAGAGGGAGGAAGCTTAGGTGATTTAGAGAGACTTGACCTTTCTTTAAAAAACATGATGTCAGAGCCAGAAGCTGCTAGTTAGCATAATTTAAGCTGCTAGTTATAATCTTATGGTCAGGCACCCCATTCCCAAAATCCCTTTGAGATTTTTCTTCATTGCTTAGGTCCTCGAGAAAATGACTCCTTCTTAGTGTTATAAGTCAACATTAGCCCTGGCGGGGAGAGACGAGTTCTATTTTGAAAGAAAACTTATGTTGGAGGTTGAGGTGCGTCTAGTTTTTTCTTCATTGCTTTGGAAGCTTGTATCTTCAACCTGGAAGATAATCGATAGGAGTTTGGGGTTGGACATCAAATTATGAGTTCAATTAAAGATCGTGAAGGCGTTGGGTGAGAAGATTGAAGCTTCATGAACACAAATGAGCAGACTAAAGATCGTATGATGACCAATTCAAAATCCACGACCAAGGACGTCAATTCCACGACAGTGGAAAAGGAAGACATACTGTGGAATAGCAGCTGCCGAGTTTAGTTTCCTTTTGTGTTTATGATTCTTTTCCCTTTTCAGTACTTTAGTTAGTTTTGTTTTTCCTTGTTAGTAGAGTACGTAGTAGAATTAGGCTTTGTTATTCCATTTAAAGGCCTCGGCCGAATCGTAACAGGAGATTAGTTTTTACCAATTGAATTTTATCCTGGTTCATCAAGTTTCCGGCTTGTGAATTTTGCTCCTCGTCGTTGGTGACCTCCAATCGCGTTGAGTGTGTCTCTGTATCAATCAAGCATCCATCTTGATTGTGGTCGAGCTTCTACCCTATATTGTTAGAGCCTTCTCCCATGTGTGAGATTGCACTTCAATTTTGCCTTATCCATATCTTTAATCCTTGCTTTAGCATGTGCAACTTTGATAACTACGAGTACCGGTTCCGTGCTCGTATCATGTACGATGATTTCACATTGAAATGTGTATAACTTACTCTGTATTTGTGTCATGTTGATTGGTGATGTCGTACATCCGCCCAACTCTTTTCCGATATGATCTCTCTCGCTTGTATCTTTTTCTTGGCTTCGACCTCCCTTGAATAAAAATAAAAAAAAACAATCTAACCCGGTCAACCCACCACTTGAATCGGTTTACATGGAACCGGACCATTTCCCTAAACCCACAATAGCTACGCTCCGATCCGTTTTTGGAGCCACCCCCGCCAGCATATTCCTATCCGTGCCGGCGAGTAGACACATATTCAGGTTAACCAATCAGATAATTTCCAAATATTAGTCTACCCGATAATTTCCAATTATCAGCAAGAAACCCATTCCTTCCTTCGTTATCTTGAAACCTTTCTCACAGACTATTCCTCGCCAAACTTTTTCTCCGACCCAAACGACCTTCAATTCGCACAAGGAAATGGTGATTTCCAGTGCTGTTTTCATCTTCTAATTTGTATCCCCTTCATTCGCTCCACACCATGGCTCTGCTCGTTCATTCGCCCGATATGTGCACAGCCAAGACCCTCATCAACCCTAATCCGAGTTCGAGGAGCCTCAAGACCCCCAGCAGCGTCCTCAGGAATGACGATAGAGTGGTTTCGTCGATGGCGAGAGTTAGGTTTGGGGTTAAGGATCGGGAAGTGAAAGTTCCGGGGTTGAGTCACGAAGATGCGCGGCTGTATGGTCAGTTCTCGGCTCCCGTTGTGAAGCAAGGGTCGAAGCGGAGCAATGAGGAAGAAGAGGAGAAGCAGAATTACTACGTGAATATGGGGCACGCTATCAGGACTCTGAGGGAGGAGCTGCCGGACCTCTTCTACAAGGAGCTAAGCTTCGATATCTACAGGTGTGTGTGTGGTTTGATTGAGTCTTCGATCTAAGTGTTTGATGCCGCTTTGAATCGTCGTTGTTACAGCAACACTTGAGGCCGTTTTTCTTAAATTCAGTTTCGTGTTGTTGGAAACTAGAATCGGAGATGTGTTAGCAGTAGGTTATGTGTTTCCCGGTTGGTTATTTGTGCCTGGACTGCTGCTGCTGGTACCGTCATTAGAACTGCTTGCAGTAATGGTCCAGGAATGAAGTTTCCGAGGGATAATCTTTTGATGGCTTGAGCTTTCTGCATTCATCTTGCCGTGAGTTTTACGTTTTGTTGGTCTCCTTCCCTTGGGAAGGCAGGTCGAATGGTTGCTTGAGAATGGGACTTTGTTTGCAGTTGAGGGTTCCTTTGTAGATGGATTCACCACCAAAGCTTTACTGAGTCCGCTGGCCTTCCTCTGTATGCCTTGTAGTTTGTAGTTTTATTGCTTTCTGTTTCAGCGAAGATGGCAACAACTCGTCTTGCTTATATTATGCTGATACACCATTTGCTATTAGGTTTTAGATTTGCTAAGGCTTCATTGTTTGCTACACTTGGTTTATTGATTGCCTTTTGTGATGAAAAGAGTGCATTGATTTTGGGGATATAAATGATGATTTTTTTCTTTCCCTGGATCTGTCATCAGTCGAAGTATTTGGTGTGGCGAAAGGCCAAGAGATGTCTAGTGATAGAACTCCGTTGATACGCTGTCTTCTATTGGGAAGCCTCTCAGCTTATTGTCTTCAGAAGTTCCATCGATATGGGTCCATGTGCATATGTAGTATACATGTGTATTCGCATAATTGTCATTTGCTCATAGCAATCAAGTAAACGAGAGGCAATTACTGCTTCTTTCCGTCCAGTAATCGATGTTATAAACTGCTGATGGTCTTCTCCTTTTCGTACTATTGCAGAGATGATATCGCTTACATAGATCGTTTCAATACCTTTGCTGGAATTGAGAACTACAAATCAATGTTCTGGGCGCTGCGTGTCCTAGGGAGGGTGTTCTTCAGGGGATTGTGGGTTGACATCATCAGCGTCTGGCAGCCTGTTGACGATATAATCCTGATACGGTGGGTAATACATGGCATACCACGGGTTCCATGGGAGAGTCTGGCTCGTCTTGATGGCATCTCGGAGTACAAACTCGATAAGAAAGGCAAGATTTATCAGCATCAAGTAGACAACATGGCGTTTAACTCGCCTCCTCCCAAGTTCAGAGTGATGGGTGTGGAGGAGCTGCTCCAGGCTATTGGCTGTCCCTCAACACCAAGACCTACTTATTTCGAGGCATCATCTGTATCCCCCACAGAAGAACTCATTAAGAGCGGGTAGAGTAAAGGAGTTTGCACTGCAATCTTGGGTGGTACTACACCCTAATTCGAGCATGGAAGAACAAACCACAGTATGTTCCCGTCTCGTCCAGTTTTCGAGAGCAAGCGTGATGGAACTGTTATAGTGATATATTTGCCTTATCTTTGTACTTTGTAGTAAGGATAATATGGGGGACAGTGTGGTAGGAGAAACGGATAACCCATCTTGTGTTTGTGTGTATATGAGGTAAATGTAAGTACAAATTTGGCTCCAACCCATGTATAGTAGCGACTAACTAGTTGCCTAATAGTATTGCCCGCTTTGATAAGGCTGACTGAGAAGGGAGAAGCATGTTCTGGAAGCAGGCAAATGCCAGTATCCTTGCTATTGTTAAGGGTTGTTTGGATCATGGATTTGCTTTCCAAATGCAACAATCAAAGTATTTGTTGAGTTTCAAATTTCATTGCCTCTGCAAAAAGAGGGGAGAAAAGGCGAGTTTCGAAGTTTGGGTTAAAAAATATGGCATCAAACAAATTTATTTGACACATGGAGTTTAAAACCATCCTTTTTAAGAGGGATTTGGCCAATCTCATATCATATCTCAAATGAACACATGTTGGAACCGGGTAAGGTGCAAACCACATGGATTGCTAGGCGACTATTTCTTGGCATTTGAGAAATTGGGCAATTGCTATTTGGGATGGACATAAGAGGCTATGGTAGGTTGCTTTATTGATGTGCTTAAATCATAAATTTATGATGCAATCCGCATGTTCCAGCATGATACCGTGAGGGAGGCGATTCGACTTGTCAAGGTAAAGCATGAAAGTGTGCAAAGGAATCCTCCACGAGCTGCCACATAACCAATGGCTCCACCTCGCAATCCTAATGCTCGAAAGATGTCATCGAAAGAGATGGCATAGAGAAGTGCCAATGAGCTATGTTGTCATTACGATGAGCGATATACAATCTGCCACCCCTACACGAACTCCCATGTGATGTTATGGTTGGGTACTACAAGGAGGAAGAAGAGGGAGCGTTTCCATAAATTCAAACACAACATAACATTTTTCATTTCCTCGTCTCGAAACCATTCTCAAATAGAAAATCCTACCGAATGTGGCAATTTGTTTTGCTTGTGGCAGGAAATCACTTAATCACACACAAAATTTCCGGAATCCTTGTTGTTCATCATGTCCAGCTGTGGTATGAGGTGGACCATTAGTTTTTGGCAAAGATCACCGTCACCGCCGTGTGTGTTACCAGCGGTGTTCCTAAGGCTAGGGACCCATTTGACATAATTTAGTCGGCGATTCGAAGAATCCTCATTATCCATCATAGCTTCATAATTCTACCACTGTTCTGTTTGCTCTCTTTTCCTCGTTCTGCCTTGTGGAAAGAGCAACTTGCCGTTATTTTTTTCTTCTCCTTTTAAAAAATTCGTTACCCAAGATTCGTTTCCCCTGTTTTTCTTGGTTTCCTCTAAACCAGAGCATCGGAGCCGCGGCCAAGCTGTGAGCGAGAGTTACTGCAGGGAGAGAAGGTTTTGCCAACTACCACCTTCTTCTTCTTCTCCACCAAACGCAATAAATACAACTCTGAACCCAGAGCGTCTCTTCTCTCTCTCTCTCTGTGATTGTTTTGGAGCGGAAATTTTAATGGGGTTGGGGTGATTGCGAATGAATAAGAAATGTCATTTTCGCTTGCTATTAACTCCAAAATCCAACCATTCCCACTATACCTTCTCTAGCGGGAGAATCCCTTCTATTCTACTCCACTTACCTCCTTCCTTTTCTTTCTCTCTCCCTCTCCCTCTCCAACTCCTAAATCTCGCCCGACCAGTTTCGCTTCATTGTTTTTTCATTTACCTGTTAAACTAATGGCGATGGAATAGTGATCCATTCCTCCTACCCACTTGTGTTTTTTCCTTCTCTGCCTGGTTTAGGGTTTAGGTATTGATTCAGTTGGGGAATTGGTACATTTGGAGTGGTGGGAGAAAGGGAATCAATCGAATTTAGGAATGGAAGGCGAACGACCCAGGTCGGAGAATCCCGCCATGACCTTCGACGAGGTCTCTATGGAGCGCAGCAAAAGCTTCGTGAAAGCTCTGCAGGTACTTACTTCCTCCACCCGCCCTCTTCTCCGCCCTTCCAAGAATCAGTAGCAAGTATCGAGTGATTATTAAATTGTTATAATCTCTGCATGAGTTCGAGATAAGCTTCGGTTTATGGAGGACTTCCCGCATCCAGATCTGCTGCTCAGTACTTGATCCTTCTTCTTCTCAGAATGAATTTGGAGTTTTGCTTTCAGTAGTACATATTGGATTTGGGTTTTTGTGTGTTTGTCCGTTGGTTCCCATTTGGGCCATATGTTGACTTATTGCATTTGGTCATGGTTCCATTCAGTAGAAGAAGCTTAGGATCACAGAGCTTGGATTTGAACTACCGTACGTATTAATACTGGCATTGGACATTGTGTTTTTGTTTGGCAGGAGCTCAAGAACTTAAGGCCTCAACTTTACTCAGCTGCAGAGTACTGTGAGAAGTCTTATCTGCATAGTGAGCAGAAACAGATGTGAGAGCCCTTAATCACCCTTCTTCAGTACTTCTTTTAATCTATGGCATATTGGATACAGTAGAGTGTTTTGCTTGATTCTCAAGTTTCTCTTCTTTCTGCCAAATTGTAGGGTGCTTGACAATCTGAAAGATTATGCTGTGAGGGCCCTTGTCAATGCTGTTGACCATCTTGGCACTGTTGCATACAAGTTAACGGACCTGCTTGATCAACAAACACTGGAAGTCACCACCACGGGGGTCAAAATTTCTTGTATAAATCAGGTGCTTTGATGTCGGCTTGACTAATCTTCTCATATTTGTTGCTATTCACTGATAAACTTAATTAAACTTCTTTTGTTTGACTTGCAGCAACTTCTTACATGTCAAACCTATATAGAGAAAGAAGGTCTCAGGCAACAGCAGTTGTTGGCAATCATTCCACGACATCACAAGCATTATGTTTTGCCGAGTAAGATGAACGTTCACTCTGCTGGAATATAGAATGGTGGATGTTCCTGAAGAGAGTTGAAACACTGATCCCTTATTAACATTGAATTCTGTCTGTGTGTTCCATTTATGCTGTCATAGACTCGGTCAGTAAGAAGGTACATTTTAGTCCCCACGTACAGGCTGATACAAGGCAAAATCATTTTCAAGCTAGATCTCGTCTTCAGCCTTCAGGTATTAAGTTCTCTTTGTCGGAGTACTTACTACTTATGAATTATATTACTGGTTTTGCTGTGTTTTCATTTTCCCTCTTTGGCGACTGGAAAAGTATCCAATTTAACTTTTATCCATATGGGTTAAATCAGCTTCTCCAGCTTCCAAAACACTTTCTTGGCACCTATCCTCGGAGACAAAGCCCACCATTAAAGGGTCAATAAGTACTTTGGAAAGGTTGGTATTAGGACATTTAGAGCTCCTGCTCAATTGTGGGCTTCTAGGAATGCCAATGTGCCTAACATGTATCTCTTGCAGCAGCGAGGAATCAAAATCTTCTGGAGGATCTTCAGCAGCATTTCAGCTCTTAGGTATGGATGAATAGAACAGTAGCTTCCGTACTTCACAGTGGTGCTTCTTCCCCACATGATGGACCATAATAGATGGTGAAATTTTTATAATTTGACTAAACGTGTGCAGATAAAGATGATAGTACCGTGTCAAAACCCTCTGGAACAGCTTATGCATCAAGTGGAATCCAACCATCGAGCGGAGGCATGCAAAGTTTTGGTGTACCACGCAAGGTAGGTCTAAAACTGCTAGAATCTGGAAATGTCCAAGCATCAATCTGAATATGGGCTCCTTTTTTTCTCCCCCTAAACACTTACCATTGCTTCATTCTTTACTGGTAGGCGGTAGCTTTCAGATCATATCGTCGTGTTGCATTTCACTAGACCTGTTACAACTAAGCTTAAATACACAGGATGCGTGCTGATTTTTCAGGGCCAGCTCAAGTCTTCTTTTCCCATTCTTCTATCAGATGCATGTCATTAGCTTTTTAGAAAAGGTGCATATATGCATGTGATATCTCTGTCTAGCCTAGAAGTGCACAGACTTAACAGGCCATGTGAGCTAAGGCTCTGTTTTTAAGTTTTTAATCTTTTTTATAGAAAGAAGTGATCTTAAAGGTCTAGGAAGTTCAGTTTTTTATATTGAGGAAACAGTATTAGTTGACCGTTTAAAAACAACAGAGGGATCAAGGGAAGTAAGGAACACAACAGTATTCGGACAGGTCTTCCACTTCTGGGTTGGTCAGGTTCGTTGGAGTAACTATTCAGTACTGTTAGGTTTGCCTTCAACCAACCCATATTTGGGCTCCAGTAGTTGGGTTATTCGCAATGAATATTGCCATGAATTGGAATGAGGGGGGTTGATTTGAACCGTGGTAATTTGGGAAGGAGGGTAAGGCCTTACCGACTACTCTATTTCCTAAGTTTCTTACGAATGTTTTAACATTTATTTCAAAGTTGAGGGGGGTTGTAGCCCTCCTGACTTCAACTTAGCTCCGTTACTGATTATTCGTAGTACACTGTGTTTTTGCATATCCATCCATGGTTCGATTTTCTGTCAAGATACTTTGGGGTCAACGGCATGTTATAATCTTTCATTGAGCTGGTGACTACTTCCCCATCTGTCCCATTTGCATTAATGCTTTGAGCTATCCATTCAAGTGGATTGGCTGGATGTTCATTCTGTATATTGTCTGGCTCTGATATGTACAATGCTATTCATTTTATGTGGCTCTGCTTTTTCATTGATTGTCATCGACCCCTAAAAAACCTGTCATAGCTGATGAAGGCGAGAGAGAATGATTGATTTGAGAGGTTTGAGTTTTGCAGGAAGCAGTGGACGGGTCTAAACACTTGGGAGGTTTCAGGTCATTCGATAACCCAAGACGTGATATTGTTCGCACCCCTGTCCCCTTTCGGAGTAAGAGTGTTCTTTCGGCCTTCTTCGTGAAGCAGAAAGCATCCAGGCTGAGCGCAGGCTCCGTTTCTTGATCCAAAACCCACCTCTGCACCTAAGACATCTACTGCGTGTTTGTGGCTGTCGAACTCCTTTCTCCTCTGGCCTGATGAGCATGATTGTTGATAAAAATGCTGTAGTATTAGTAGTTCTGTTCTTAGTTACTAGTAGCAGACTAGTCCATAAAATTTTCTTGTTGTAATAAGCTAATAATGATGAAATCTTATTCATAAAGAAAATTATGAAATCTCAGTTCATAATAGTACAAAATCTTATTCATAAAACATCTTAATATAACACTTCATACTATCTTACCCTTATATTACTTACGCTATCTCTTTTTGGATAAGATTTCATAATATAATCTCACCATTATCATACAATAATAATATAGTTTTACAACTTGTAAAACGATATCATCATATCGCTTTCTTATCATGATATTACTATAGTAGTAATATCTGTCGAAATTTGTGGAAATTTGTAAAAAGTTATTAACTACAGCCTGAGAATTCGACCAATTGACAAAAAAAATCCATAATTATTCACATTTTCCCTTTGCAAAATTTGTCTTTAGATCGAAACCCTCCAATTGAAACATTCTATACACTATTATATAGTTCTACATTATTTTGTACTAAAACCTACATCTTAAATTAATCTAAATGTTCTTATTTGTGAAAGTCGTAGTTATCAAACCACTGATATTCCGGTTGGTACAATTAGGTTCAAACAGTACTGGACAAAATTTGAATGAAAGATCACTCTAATAAAAAAAATGAGAAAGGAATGATACGAACAGACAATTAATTTTCGGTCATTAAACAAAACGGTCTCGTTTTGGCGGAACTAACTAACAAAAAAAAAAGAAGGAATTTGGCATATTCAAGTATGAACATTTGAATGTCAGTGTTATAAATTGGTTCAAATATGAACATTTGGATATAAATATGAAAATTTTGGATATTAATGATATTCACATCCTCGTATGTGTTGTTTGAATCGTCATAAATTGGTTGTACTCGGTCGGACCATACTAACTGGTTAGCATATTCGGTGAAACCACTATAATAATTATTGCATGAAGATATGGCAATTAATCCCGAACCCACGATACCCAATCCGAACCAACTCGGTCAAAACGGGTAAAATCCAATGTCAAAACCTATCCCTCACCTTAAAAGCAAAACGACGTCCTTTTGTATATAACATAAACAATATGAATAATTTATGTATGTTATAGTATATGTCAGTGCCAACATAATAATATGAATAATTTATGGATCTTATTTATCTTTATAGAGATATATTTATATAGAAAATTTAGATAATATTACGATATCGTTGTTTGGAAAATAAATATATAATAATTAGATTTGTAAATCCATAATCATGATTAGGTACGTACTCATTGAGGTGAGTTGCATTTGCTCTTCTAAAATCCAATAAATATTTTATCGAATTCTTTCAATAACTGCATCCGCTGAATTAAATTCGAATTTAGAGAAATCCAACCTAACTCGATAGGTTGGCAAACGAATTCATGGGTTGAGCCTTGAGGACACAGATCCGATCTGAGAGACCAAGAGGAAAATATATGAAAAAGTAAAAACAAAATTAAGTTTCCGAGCTGCGAAGAAAAGAAAGAAAGAAACAAGGAAAACAGATTTCAAGATCAGATTCTCACTTCTCGCTTTCCCTTTCCCGTCGCAAGTCACCGCCATCAGATTTCCTCACCGCCGGCGAAACTCCATCGAACTGAAGTCTCCGCTTCACAATTGAAGTCATCCAGCCCCTAGAAAACAAATGACTACATCTTTGCACCAGCGGCCCCTCCCCTCCGCATTCTCCGACCGATTCCCGGCATCCCTTCACTACTCGAACCTTCCTCACAGGCAAATTTCAATCTTCAGCCGCGCCGGCCTCTTGGCGTTACTCTCCCTCATGTTAATCCTTGGCGTAATCGTGCCTTGGGCGGATATGCCGGGCGGGATCTTCTCCGCAAACAAGTCTTCAGTCCAGCAATGGCGTCGGTACACGCTGCCTCAAGCCGTGTCGTTCGTCGCCAAGAACGGTACCGTGATTGTCTGTGCAGTGAGCCGGGCTTACTTGCCGTTTCTCAACAACTGGTTGATCAGCATTTCCAGGCAGAAGCGCCAAGATATGGTCCTCGTGATTGCGGAGGATTACGCTACACTGGATTTGGTGAATCAGAGGTGGCCTGGCCATGCCGTGCTAGTTCCCCCTGCGCTTGATGCACAGTCTGCCCATAAGTTTGGCTCTCAGGTATTCTTCCATGGTTTGCCTCGTAACCTACTCTGTAACCTAAAATGATCTTTTTTTTTTGGATTCAATGGTGTTCCTAAGTTGTGATGTCTTGTTGATTAGGGTTTCTTCAATTTCACGGCCCGAAGACCTCAGCATCTCCTGCACATTCTGGAGCTTGGTTACAGTGTTATGTACAATGATGTGGATATGGTGTGGCTAGGAGATCCCTTCACTTATTTGCAGGGAAGCCATGATGTTTACTTCACTGATGACATGACTCCAGTAAGTTTTTTGTCTACTGTTCTCATGTTGTTAGCAGAGCAAGGAAAATGTTTTGTGCTGCCAATCATTCTGTGCATATTGATCTCAATCAATGTCTGTCGGTATATAAGATTGCCGGCTTCTCTATTCCAGGCAAGATGAATTGAGTTTTGTTGTTGCAGAGTGATCTCGATTTGCATCGTGTAAGGCAATGGTAGTTTAACCAAGCGTGCAGAGAAATCCAATTACATCCAACTGACAAAAATAGAAACTTAGCTTTCAGGATAGTTCTCAAGACTGCTACATATTGGATCAATGTGACAATATCCAATATAGAAATTGTCTGGGGTATCAACATCTACAGCAGAGCTTTCCTTGCACTACTTTTCACTTCTGACGGATCTTTGTGCAGAGAAATCCAATTACATCCAACTGAAAAATATAGAAACTTAGCTTTAAGTATAGTTCTCAAGATCGCTACATATTTGATCAATGTGATAATGTTCAATATAGAGATTGTCTGGGGTATCAACATCTGCAGCAGAGCTTTCCTTGCACTACTTTTCACTTCTGATGGATCTTTCTACTTCCATTTGGTTTGTGATCCAGTTGGCAGCGTGTTTTTCCTTGTGTTTGGATAATATTGCAATTTCTTGGTCGTGATTAACTTTTGGTAGATCTTTGTATTTCCTTTTGGCTTGAATATTGACATTGCGTGTTTCTCTGTGGGTCAATAGGTGAAGCCTCTGGATCACTCCCATGAGTTACCACCTCCAGGGAAAAAAGGCCGCACGTACATTTGTAGTTGCATGATTTTCCTTCGCCCTACTGCTGGAGCAAAACTAGTTATGAAGACTTGGATAAAGGAACTTCAAGCTCAGCCTTGGTCTAGAGCAAAGAAAGCAAATGATCAACCTGCTTTTAACTGGGCCTTAAACAAAACTGCTGGACAGGTCTGTTTCTCCCCAATCTTCAGTAACCTTTTCCTTTTCTCCTAGCTTGTCCAGTGTTGCTTACTGATCTCCTAAGCGTCAAATTTAGGGGGGATCAAAGTTCGATAATCACAATTTATGTTGCTCCCTCAATAGTTTTAGCATCGTGTTTGCAGTAGTTGGTCTTGATTGAATATTGATGATGAAGATGATGATTAACTGCATGCTGCTTTTGAATGATGATTTATCCATCCAGGTGGATCTATACCTGCTTCCACAAGCTGCATTTCCAACGGGTGGTTTGTACTTCAAGAATAAAACATGGGTGCAAGAAACGAAAGGGAAGCACGTAATTATACACAACAATTACATAATTGGTTTTGAGAAGAAGATAAAGAGGTTCCACGATTACGGCCTCTGGTTGGCAGATGATCATGCCAATGAGTCTCCATTGGGCAAGTTATAGCAGCAGCTTCATGCTTCAGGGACTCTTAATTACCTTCTGTTTGCGCGAGAATACCGGAAGAATGACAAAGTATCCACGCTAGGTGAATCCTCACCCATCATGTAGCCCACAGCTCATGAAAGTCTTACTGGAGAGTTGGAAGCCATCATTATATCCAGGCAAGGGAAGCGGAGCTGGTTGATTTGGCCCTCTTATTTTCATGAAAGTCAGTTGGGGGGGAATCCAGTCAGCAACTAGCATGAGATAATAGAGCGCGATCCGGTTGGAAAAAGGGTTAGCTTTCTTTGAATTCTTACTCCATGGGAGTTTTATCGTGTAAGAAGTGCAGAAACCATCTGAATCTGAATCTATTCCAATGATATTCATTTTATTCTCTAGTTCGATGTTGAGCATTATATAGAGCAACTATGCTTTGCTTACATGTTAAAAGAGCCTCAACTAAGCCAATTCCATTCGACTTGCCTCAACATGACAGTTGAAGTTGAGCATTATATAGAGTGACTATGCTTTTGCAGGTCAACTCTTACTACTGCAGAGAACCCCGTGTTTCATGAGAGAATGAAGCATGTCAAAGTCGACTACCACTTCATTCGGCAACATCTTCAGTCAAATTTGTTTGCTAAGACTCTCAGTCGAACTCACATTTGTTATCTGCTCAAGCTTGGAGTAGCTAGTGGTTGAACTGCAAAACATGTATCTCGCTGTGTAATAGTTAAATAATGTGGAGGTGCCCAAAATAATATTGTGTAAACAAAGATAGGAAAATAACATAGTGTAAGTAAGTTTTACTTATCAAATTCAGGATCACCATATCTATTATCACTCTGTGATTATCTAGCAAAGCAAATTGCGAACTCAAGTTAACTGTCTAAGGAAGCAAAGTAAATTAATTCGGGTTTCAAGATGAGAAAGGTCACTCGGGTACGCTTCTCCTAGTCCTTAGTCGGGTAATTGTTGTTTTCCTAGTTTATTTCACTCGATATTTATACAACGGAGAAATCGTATTTAACCTTGAATCTATATTTAAGTAGAAAATGTCATCTTGAATAGACTGCTTAGCAGGACACTATCTTCAACTGAAACAGAATACCAAGGCAATGCAAACTAGATTCACTCTAGTGTATCAAAATACAATACAAGGCAGTGAACCGATTCACCACCTCCAATTGACAATGCTTTCTTAACCTATTTAGGTATTTTCTATAATTCGATATATAATGTGATCATGATTCATACAACTTATAAAAAATGCATCAATTGGATATATAATTCGATTTCCACAAACAAGGGTTCAAACAAACATCAATCATAACATACCAAATTAGGGTTCTTCGTACCCAGGTGAGACAGAGATTTACTCCATAGACAGAGGAACACAGAGGGGAAAGAAGTTATCATCGCGTAGACAATGTGAATATGCTCCGGAGTGGCTATCTTCATTCCAAAGGACGAGACATAATCTCCAATGGCGAACGAATAAAGAAAATCTACTTTGAGGGTGCTCTCTTCGTCACTTTTTCTCTCTAGGGCTCTTCTAACTCGTTTCAAATGCCAAAACTCAAATCCCCAATTTTGAACTCGTCAAAACCCTCTTATACTTTATAGTGCACGAGTCGTGGTCCCAAGCCACAATTGTGACTTGCAACATTAGGGCGTGACTTTGGACAAAACACCATCGTGAGATTAAGTCGATAGGTTGCAAGTCATAGTAGTCTAGTTCATGTCACAGTCCGGAGGATCCAGCTACAGGAAAACCAAGAATGGAGAGCTTCCCCAACCCCCTTTTTCCGCCCCACTCTTTGGTCTTAAGAATACTGGTTTTAAGAATGAGTAATTAGCCTTCTCTGACCCTTACTATTCAACCTGAGAGCGAAAATTTACCCAACTATTTTGGAGCATCTCTCCTTTTTGCTTTTTTTCAACGACTGATCTCACTTACTATTTTCGCTATCCAAGCTCCTCTATCATAGAAAATAAGTACGAGATGTGAATTTGCTACATACCATGGTCCGGGTGTTGAATGTCACGGTCCAGACCGTGAACTCTCCCTCTTGGTCTTGACCTTTAACAATCGATCATCTTTGTCTCGCTTTCACCTTCAAATATCTTGGAACTCACTTCTAATCCATATCCACATACTAGGACCGAAAATACGGCAAAAGAGACACAACCTAACACAAAATAGGCCAATGAACTATTAAAACCAAGTCAAACGATCAAGGAATGAGGATCCAAAACATGTATTAAGATGTACAAATCAAACTTCCCCCACTTAACCGTTTGCTTGTCCCGCATCAAACCATACTCAAACTAGTGCAACTTACTAGATCTCCACAACAACATGCAACTTTCGATCTTCAGTAGTGTGCAACTAGCAACTTACTAGGTCAACCCAGATACAAGAAATCGCTCAACCATCTCGGGCGTAGGCACTAGCCTCGTATCGGTACAATGTCGAGTAGTAGATCTAAGACAAACAATTTGTGAACGAAGAGACTCTAAAAAATAGTGAAAACCGTGGACTCTTTTAGGGTACTTTATCTTTAAAGAATCAAACTTTTGAACTTCATAGATTTTCACATATCATTCCAACACCCTTACGTTTTCGAAGAAAGGCTCATTGCATTAAGTACTTTCTCGCGGCCAGAGCAGAAGCAACAATCACTTCTTTATCAAGCCCATGCGGGGAAGGAGTGTAATAAACACAATTTCCGAAGATACACTCGTATCCTTAGGGGAGACCTACGATGGTTGACCTAAGTTCTTGACAGGGCCCACGACATGTGAGATTTTTCAAAGGTTGAGGTCTCTTAACTTGAGCATATGATACAGTCTCTTCTCTATCAAGACTCGTGAGAAGGGGATTTGTAAGTGAGGGTGTCGAAAATGTTATTCGTGCCTCTCAGACACAATACTCAAAGCGCACTCCGCTCCTTAAGATGAGCCTTAGGAGGTTGCCTTAAGAATCTCGACCAGTTACCACAACACGTGAGTAAATTCATTCATTTAGAGTTTTAGAGCCTTTTTTCAATAACGTTTTTTAGTCCACGAAAGTTTTCTTACCACTGCATAAATCAAATGTCCTAAAAATATTAGTCAATATAGCAACCAACAGTTCACAAATCACGGAATTTATTTCCCTCTTTTAGACGGTGAAAATGGCTAGAAGATCCACAGGTTGTCATTAACAAATCGTTGTAGTGCAAATGGGCTATCAGCCTGTGAACATGTAGTCGAAAGAGCTATCTTATGTAAAAGCATTTTAGTAACCTATAAAGTGTAAAAACATACTTCAAAACGCGATCTTAACTATATTATTTTAGTAATTGATTTTAATTACATTGATCGTGAAACATAACTTTTTTTTATGAAAAAAGTTATTTTCTCGTAACAAATATAATTACGTGATTGGTTCGTTAATAACGCGGCAATCATTATTTTGACCGGTAAGCAGAGCCGACGGCGTTGACCGCGGGTGCCAAATGCGTTGTCGTTGCCCGGATTTGAACGCTAAAACCGAAGGATCAGACTTGAGACGAGTAGAGTACATTCCTTCCGAGACCCGCCACGCCACTGAACATCCGATTTCAATCCTTTGGAGCGCGCTAGGGTTTGCGTCGATTCAGGTGCGCCCTTCCTCTGTCCCTGTAATTAAGAGATTCATCTTCTCTACCGCTTTAGTTCTCTGATGGCATGATTTTGTCTCGCTGCATCACACAGCGTTCTCATTCTTAGATTGAGGTCGATCTTGATATACAATAAGTCTAAGTGAAAATTAGTGCCTTTATATTTCACTCTGGAAATTGGACTGTAGATCGAGTAGACCAGGCAGAGATTTCAGTTTATTTCCGTCTCCATAATCTATTTGCATATCGAGGTTCCCTGCTGCCGATTCCAGTTCCTCAAAGATACATCAAATTACCGGGAAACAGAGAAATGGTCTGGAAACTGGCAAATCGAGCTCGAATTTCGTGTCATGGAAATCGTCTTGTTTATCAGTTCTTTCTTTCAGTGATTCTTTGTGTTCCTAGTTCGAAAGAACAAGAAATCCAAAATGGATCCGATCGGTACTCTATAGTTCTTTCTACAGTACTGTCAGATCCTATCAAATGGGTTTCATAAGTTATTATTTTGTTTAATGTTTGAGCCAAATTTCGCTCATAGAGATGGAAAGTCAGGTTAGTTCAATTGGGGTAAAGAGATTTAATCATGTATGGGAACTTCTCTGCAGAACTACATTAAGTACCTCATGTTGGGTTGTGATCTTCTATTGAGGCTCATGCATATTAGACAAATGGGTTATTGCTGGTTTTGGTTACTTAGCTCTCTCTTTCTTTAGCTACGCAAATTCCCCTGCAACTTAACTACTCCAGCTCGATACAATTCCAGTGACTATAAGTTGAAACATGCAAGCTATCGCTCACTACTTAGATGTTCAAGTTCCATCCTTTTTGCCTTAATTTGTCACTAAATTACTTCCATTAGATGGTATTCCCTGGGGCCAAGTGCAACTCCAATGTTGGCCGTCTTCTCAACTCGTTTTTTTGTTTTTGTTTCCAGTAACAGCTCTTTGCGGTACAATTCATACAAGTTGTTCAGTTTAATTTGCTCGAAGGTGAAGGGGGGATGGCCAGAAGCAGCAGCAGGCAGGGAAGGCCAATAGGGGCCCGAAGAAGGGATGAATCGATGTTGACTCGTATGGTGAATTCAGTGTTTTCCTTCCTGAAGTATGCTGAATTTGAGATCCTTTTCGTTCTTTTCTTTGTCGTCGCTTTTGTTGTGTTCAAAGATCTTACCTCAAGGCCTGAGTACAACCAAATCCTGGTGAAGAAGCCTGACAGTGGCGACTGGTGGCCTTATTAGAGAACTGCCTTATATACAACCAGGTTCTTGTAGAAAAATTCCTCTAGCTACTTTGGAGCTTCTTTTAAGTTTGATGAGCATACAGGTCAGGTTTGCATCATGATCTTGTTTCCTGTACCTGTGATTGTGAACGATGCTAACAGAGGACATGTACTTTTATCCATAAAATGGTCTGTTTTGTTAATTATATGAATATTATCATATATACTGTAACACGGTCCTAGATACGGATACTGCTCACCATATATACTGTAGGATTTCCATGATAAAGTATGTGGAAACTCAGCAACTCTGGATTAAATTCTGGTAAGATCTTTCCACAGTCTTGGTGTTGAAACCTTTGAAATCTTGTTTGGCTATCTTTGGTAGCTTGAATGGTTCATTTCTGGTCATGATTCCATCTGCATTATTTTATGCCCAAACAACATCTGCATATGCAGGATGCTAGTTTTCAGGATGCCATAGTCAAGAATGATGCTATTTGACAAATGCTTCCTCCTCTTTCTCTGTTTATTTTATTTTATTTACTTATCCGTCAAGAGAGTGATTTTTTCTCCTCCATTTGTCTGACTATCACTATGGTACGAGACCCTTTCTGTTAATTCCGAAGCTAAAGCTAAGTTTAGATGATACCATTTTAATTGGCTGAAAGTTCTTAGGTCGCTCACTCTTCCATATCCTACAGAATCAGTTGTAGTCACGTTATTCCCGACATTTAGAAATCCTAATTTGCAATTAGAGGGTAAAATGTTGTCCATATTTGGCCTTGTTGTCGGTTTTTGTAAAAGCAGTTTCTAGCTAAAACTTTTGAGATTTTAAAATAGAAAGAGAGGGTGAGGTGGAAACTCTAAAATATTTAATTGTAGAATTAATTTTTTAATTGATAATTTAGTTAAATAACGATCAAACATCATTGTTACTGTCATATAAGACAAACTTAACGTAAATAGACAACTAGTGTGAGTGTCAATAGTTCGATCCGGACCAAACTCATGACAAAAGCAGTCCAATAGTGAAAGACATCTTATGACCACGGACCAGACTAACATCGCATTTGGTCCGTACCAAATGTCGATTTGGTCAATTTTTTCAGTATATACAAAACCCATGGGGCCAAAGATCGTACCACATTATATTCGGTTTGGTGTGATATGGTTTAACTGTTCGTTAGTTCGGTCCAAATGACAATTCACTCAATTTTTTCCAGTATTTCAAAATTCATCAGACCAAGGACTGAGCAACAATATATTTAAATCGGTATGGTCCAATCCAGATATCGGTTTGGTTCAGTGTGATCTGATGCGGACTAACTCGTTACACACCCCTAAATGTGACCCAACTATGAAACATACTTTAACAATGACTAGTAAGAAAAGAAACATTTTCGACTCACAAACGCTACAAGGCACAAGCCTACAATGAGTTGTAAGTAGAGGGAGAACTCTATATTGTTTGCCCCATGGAAAGCACAATGATAACATTTTCTGCCTCTACAACTACAAGACTGGACATTATATACGAGGTCTGAAGCCTACCCTAAGGAATTCTAACACTAACCCATGTATCCTTCAAGAACAAGTAATGGAAGTACAATGTCAATCATTGACCTGAAACCATATGCCAACACTAACCCCCCTAAGCCTATCTTCTCCCATCATGAGATGGAAGCTTAGACTTTCTTTTTTGTTATTGGGAGTAAGATAGAAGGTTGGACTGTTCAAACAACCAATGAACAGATTGGGTAAAAAACATCTCCACCCTTTTCCCTCTTGTTGTCGTATTGTATTTTGTATTGTCTCTCTACTGAAAACGAAGTTGCAACCCCAATCCCTGGATTCTTGTTTGTTTTGAGGACCATGATTGGATCGGGATGAGGTTCGAGGTGACAAATGGTGTAGCAGTAGCTAGTAGTAGCAGTAGACAAGTGTAAGTGTGAGAAAATGGGATGTGAAATGGATAAAAGGAGAAAGCCATCTGCCGCTTTTTCGAAACATGAATATTTCGAGAGAAGATGCCATTGCCAGCCATGGGAGGAGACCAATCATGCTACACTGTTGGATTTCACTTCCCCTCCATCCCATATGGCCATCATCATCATCCTCCTCGTTCGCCATTGAAACTCTCTTCACACGCTTTTTGACAGAAGCATGTGATGTGTACCAGCAGCAAGCTATCCGCATGCTCTGAGAGGTTAAAAAAAAGCAACAGAAGGGGTAAACAATAGAAACCCTTTTTTTATTTTTGTAAAGTTAGTCTCTTTGACTCCAATCTGTGGGATCCCCTCGGATTCCATCTCAATAGGATCTATTATAGTATGGAATGGGTAAAAGTAGAAAAAGGGTTTTTGAATGATTCATGGCCAGCCCTACTACTGAAAGCGAAAGATGAAAAAGGCTAATGATCCAGAAGGAAGGGGATGATTGATTGTCTGCTTAAACAAGAAAAAAGGGTACCCTTTACTGCTTTTTTCACCTTCTGGTTGAATCTCTTCCAACTAATCTGATCAGTAATAATACAATGCATTGCAAAGAAAGGGTATCCAATTCGAATTATGAAGAAATAAAACAAAGTTAAAATGGATGATGAGCTTACCGTAAGCCCAGTCCCTTCTTACTTAGTTGACCTCTGATGCAAATGGGTTACAAAGATACAAAACAAATCTTGAAACCCAGGAGAAGTTATGTTTTTTTTTAACAGAAAGACAAATGAAAATATGAACACTTATATGCCATTGGCCGCTTTCTGCATCCCAAAGGCATACAAGTAACCAAATCAATCAAGCAGCTTTTCCCCTCCAATCTTGCTGCTGATAAATATTAGTTTGTCCCATCAGGTGGAATCCAATGCCCAATCTTGGTTTCCACCTTTATGCTAGAAAAAAGAAAGAAGAAATTGAATGTGATTTTCACCTTATGCTAATCCTAAACAGCTACCCTAGAGTAAACCCCCCCTCCTACAAATGATTAATGACCGGTGACAATGATGATGAAATACGAATCTTTGGTGTTGGTGGAGGTCCTTCCAATTGCAGCAGAGTTCAATTGGAAGGAGGCATGGGGGGCCAGTGGAGACGCTTGTGAGCTTTGTGCTCCTTGCATTTCTCCATATCCTCCGTGGAATGATGAAGAAGAGCAAGATATATGTGCTTTTGGTCCTGCTGCTGCAGCTGCTGATTCATACAGGTGCCTTCCTTGGATTCCCTTCCTCCCCCACTACTTCTGTTGTTATACACCTAGACTCCTTATCAGCTTCTCCTGTAATTTTTGCTGAATCATTGGCATGGAAAAAAATAAAGGATCCATTTCCTTATTCGTCAAGTCTCGTCCCTCCCTCAGATTTGCTTTCACCATTGTACCTGATGTTGTTTAGCATTCTTGTAAAGTAACTCATTTGGTTGGTGATGAATTTTGATCAGCAGAAGCTGCTGCAGCTGTCGTCGTCGTTGGCCTGGCAGCAGCTGCCACTGTGGTCGCGGTGGAAGTTGCTGATGCTATTGTTGATGCTGCTGGTGCCACAGTTGTCGCTGAGGGAACTGTTGTTGCAACTGCAGCAACATTGACAAACTTTCCTGTTATGAAAACACAAACATTGTGGCAATCCCACAACTACATGACCACATGTACAAGTAAAAAGTTATGATGATATGAGACTGATTCGTTGCAATCAAACCTGCAGCTGTGGTGGCAATAGGGGAAGCAGCAGTAGTAGTAGTAGTAGCAACAGGCAAGGACAGGATCCCTGAAGAGGGATAGTGCTGCTGCTGGTGAGGAAAATACGGTGTATACTGTACAACTTGAGCTGGTGGAGTGTACTGGACACCAGCTCCTCCTCCAAATCCATGAACTTGACCACTGCTGCCGCTGCCGCTGCTATGTTGTGCATACTGAGCAGGGTAGAATGGGTAGAAGTTGTGGAATGCCATCCCGCCAGCTGCTCCACCCGCAGAACCCCCAGCCGCCGCGTAATAAGGCGACACATGTTGCTGATGATGCCCTCCATAAACCCCATAATAGCTCTGCTCACAAATACAGGAAAAAAGACACCAACTTTGACATCAAGAGATCAAGCAAATACTAAACAAGCAGCAATGGAGACAACAGTAGGAAACAAAATGCTGACCATGGGATGATGATACAGAGCCGCCGCCGCCGTTTCTTGTGGGTATCCGGTTGCTGCGGCAGCGTACCTAAATGATAAGAATGGGGGGTTTCATTTCATTTCATTCATTATCCGAAACAGAAACAAACATTGGAGTCGCCGGTAACAATGCTAGGAGACACAGAATTTTGTCTGTTTCACCATTTTTCCCCATTTCCACTTATTATATATGTTTTTGACTGAGAGTTAAAAGGGAATATTTGGGGAATTTACCCGTAAGCTGAATAAGGAAATGTATATTGACCAGAGGGTTGAGGGATGTATGAAGCTGCAGCTGAAGATGGCTGAAATGCAGCAGCAGCAGCAGGTGGTGGTGCAGCAGCCACCAATCCAGCTTCTGCTCCTCTAAACCGCCCACCTCCTCCTCCTCCTGCAAAACAACCATTTTTTTTTTACCACCGTAAATCACAAAAACCACATTGAAAAAGAAGGGTGAGAAAGGAGAACGGACCATGTTGAGAAGGGATTGAAGGGCGAGTTTTTGTGGCGCCAAGTGAGGCAAGATTGCAGTTTGCCCTCCTTCCATCGATTACAGGGGAAGGGTTTTGACAAGCTCTCATCGCCGACTCTGGATCCTTGAACGTTACCTGTAAAACAAAGAACAGATTTATCAGTAAAAAAACAGAAGGGACAAAGAGTTCAAAAAGAAGGAAGGCAAAAGGGGAGGGGGGGGACATTTACAAAGCCATAGCCCTTGGATCTGCCAGTGTTTTTGTCCGTGATCACGACGGCTTCAATGATCTCCCCAAACTGCTCAAAGTAACGCCTCATGGTCTCCCTCTGCGTCTCCCAAGCCAAACCTCCAACAAACAGCTTCGTCAGAGTGGTGTCATTCGCATTGCTGTAGTAATGCCCACTCATCTGGTGATGGAATTGCCTTTGCTGCGACATGATCACCACTGCTATCAATCAACCAAATTCTTCTTCTTCTTCTTCTTCTTCTTCTTCTTCTTCTTCTTCTTCTTCCCCCTCCAATCGATCTTCAATTAAAAAAAGAGGGAGGAGGGAAAGAAAAGCAACCAGCCCCCACAGGAATGAAAATGTGACAACCCTTTTTCTCAGACACCAAATATAGAGAACAGAGAGGAATCCAAAGAAACTGAAGGAGCCGTTTGAGGGTTTTGACTATGGCGAGGGGTATTCGCATCAAACAGTCAAACCAACCCAGAAACGCTCTCTGTGTCTTTCTTCTTGGTGGTTGATGCTGTTGCAGGAAGGGAATGGAATGCTGGCTGGCTGGCTGGTTTTGTAGAAAAGGGTTTTTTTGATTAGATAACTGCCACTTTTTTTTTTTGTTGTTGTTGGTTTTTTACAACCCACGACGACAACTCCTCAGATTCCTCAACGAATTAAAAAAAAAGAGAAATCATTAATGGTTGAAAGCCTGTAGGGGAAGATAAAAGGAACAGAGGGACTGGAAATATACGAGACAGCAAAGACTGCCAGAGAGAGAGAGAGAGAGGAGAAGAGGAGAGAAGTGCTGCAAAGAAATAAAAAAAAAAGAAAAGAAGAAGACAGCAATGAAAAGCAGCAGGAGGAGGGAGGAGGAAGACGAGGAGAAGACCATTATTAATATTAAAGAAATGGGAAACTACAGCAAATGCTATGGAAAAGTTGGCGTAATTTTAATTGGGAATATAATTGTATAAAAATGGAATGTGAAATGTATTAGTTGGCTTCTTGTTATTATTATATATATATATTAGGAGGAGAAAAGAAAAAAAGAAACATTGACAGGGAAGAATGATGAGGAAGAGAGGCGGAGGGCGGAGGATAAAATAGAGAGAGAGAGAGAAGAAAAAGAAAGAGAAAAGCTGCGTTGTGGAGTGGGGTAACCCACGAGGAATGGAGCAGCAGAAGAAGGTGGCAGAGTGGCAGAGGAGAAGAGAGGAGAGGAGGAGGCTATTAGGTGCTGTCCAATATGACCACACCCAACTTGGCCAACTCACTCGACCAAGGACCAAACTGTGTTTGTTCCCTCCCTCTCCCTCCCTCTTCAACCAAAACTGATAGATGGTATTTATCAAAACTGCTATATGTGATTAATTGTCGCTAAGGTTGACGGGTTGATTCGTTTTGATCCTGATACGATTGGGGGAGGAGAAATGTATCACACAAACTCATTGTAAAGTCAACATACATTCTCCACTGGCTGATGACCTTCTTCACCATGACCATGTTAGCTAACCATGTCGGGTAGAGAACCTCGTGGATGAAGTCGGCTTGCCCCAGCTTGATTATTTCCTCTGCTATGACCGGGGCACCTGGCGACTATCCCAGGCAAAGTTCCTTTTTGATGGATAGGCTTCCTACCTGGGATGGTCCATAGTGCATGCTCGACAACTCTTGTATTGAGACTATGCATATCCTCAGGTCCTTGAGCAAAGAGCTCATACACACCCGACTCCGACAATAGTTGGGAACTCTAATTTTAAGTGCAGAGTTGAGGCTATAGCCCGAACTTGATGGAGAAAAGGGTGTCCATGAATGCAGTTGTACGCAGAAGGACAGTCAACAACATGGAAATTGATCGTGGTCTCTACGATTTGCTGGTTACTGCCAACACGAACCTGGAGTGGGAGAATGCCCCAGAACTGGGACTTGATTTCCGGAGAAGCCCACGAGGTAAATACCAGGAGCGTGACATTTGGTTAGTTGAAGACTCATGAACTTAAAAGCTTAGTAGAATAAAAGATATGCAGAGCTGCCTCCATCGATAAGGACTCGTTGATGCAACCACGTGGTTTACCTTTTAGGATGATTTGTTCTCCATTATGGAGAATTTTTTTGATGAAGGAGTGTGAGAGTTCTTCCCATGTTTGAATGTGTTGGCAGAATGGTAGTCTAGCCACATTATATTCTTTCCTTCTCCAATAGTCTAACCACATTCTTGACCTTGTACATAATCACGGATCTCAAAGAAGGTCTTAACATGCTTAACGGGATTATCATTATCTCTTCCGGCAAAACGCCCAACTTGTTGTATCATTTCACAAAAGTAAGTAGCTCGATTGCGGCAGGAGGTGAAACGATGTTGAACACATACGATGCCTTAGGTCGCATGTATTCGGATAATGTGTGTAGGTTCTCCCTATTTTCCGAACCATTATCAAAATTTTCATCACCCATGATTAGATTGTAGATTCTCAAAGTAGGAAAAGTATCGAGACTGTTTCTATTTAACCCTTCTAGTTGGACATTGGATGGAAGGATTTGAGATAAGGTTTTAGTTTGAACAAGGATGAGCTAAAAGCACTAGGATCTCCTTTGTAGTGCATAGCCAGTTATTTTGTGATCTTCTGAACTTTGAGCCCCTTATTTGAAAGAATTGGGCTAATAAGTAGAATCGGTTAGGCCAACCATGCACTTAGTGAAGGCAGGTAAGGTGTAGAATATAGTAAGACAAAGGATGGAAGATAGAACGAAGCACGAGTTGTAGATCTTTTTAATCGAAACCTAGAGCCCCCGACAACAGAGTCAAAACTTTATGACTATAGTATGTCGGAAACGTAATTTATTTAACCTAAACGAATATCTAAGATCGTATTCCATAGGCTTGTGACAATGTCTAGGGGTTGAGGTGCCCCTCGTGCTATTTGTTTACTTGCTAGAATGAAGAAAGTAAATAGCATGAATTGAAATTAGATTAAATGAAAGATAAAAGGTTATTGTATATGGTAGTTTCTCCTAGCTTAGTGAAGCTACCTCGTTTAATTTGTAGTATATCTAGTTAAGGTCGATTGGCTTGGATTTATCTCATTTCAACTTTTCATAGAGAAACATCCTTCTCGCGAGGTCTCGTCATGCAATATGAATAATTGGACTATCATGTGCGCAAGTTCTCGTCATGCCACAAGATCCTTATGAAGTTAATTATGATATCATTATTAGCATACTTGGTAGAAGAACTCGAGTTGTCTATTACTCGGTGACCTAGTGGTTGTATAGGCCCAAGGTCTCGTCATACCTAGAACGATCATCGATTATGCTTGATTCAATGAATGCATAATTTCTTGCTATGCCATGCATTGAGCATTAATAGAATACATGTGAGATTTTCCGCCACGCTTACATGATGATCGAAGTAATCAAGCAAAAGTGACAAACCACAAGCATGAGCTTCACTTTGATATATTATTGCTAAAATATAAAAGATCGATATAAAGTCGATAAAGTCGTTATTTTTTTAGAAGATACAGTCATTATTTTGATTCATGTACGCAATGAAGATCGATATAAATTCGATAAGGGACTTTTTAACTAAACAAATTATACATAATTAATATATATAACTGATACCATAAGAAAATATAGAAAATTAATAAATTCGAAGCATATGTGGGTGCATGATTATATGTTAACTATATCTTGATAACAATCCCAGGATTAATTGTCTGATTACGGACATCATATATGAATATGAACACAATAAAGCAAAACCAATCCTATAGACAAATGATAAGGAGAGAGAGGAACGAAGGAAAGATAATAAATTGTCAAGATTTGCAAAATCGCCCTTCTTGCATCCTTACTAATGAGTGATTTCCCAATAAATCATAGAGCCATCTCTATATAATCCCCACCGTGCTTTGCTCATAAAATGACAATTCTCACATATTCTTACATCAACCTATCTAATAACTCGAGCTATTTCATCTAATTTATTCTTCAAAATTTTCTTCTTCTTTCTCTTACCTTTCTGATTGTTGGGTTTTCGAATTGGCGAGGAGGGGAGTTCTCTTCCTCCATATCTGAAAGAGATGTCAAAGGAGTGGCCACACCTGCTAGTTCATGAATTCCCGTGGGTTGCGCTCCTTATATTATATATGTTATCCATTACATGATCATAGAGCGCATGACTAAGGGTTTTCATGTGCTAGGAGATGTTGTTTCACTTCCATCTTTTGGGCTTGGAGTGAAGGGAGCTCCCCTCTCCCTTTCCATGCTACTCTCTCTCTGGTACATTTTCTTGCCTGGACTGTTTGTTTTTTACAACAATTTTTCAAACTCTAATTCAAAATTTTCAATAATGAAACTAAAGTTTCCCTTCAACAATGTTTCCTCGCGCATTTTCTCTATGGTATTTTTTTTATGTAAGGTATATTATTTATTCAAAATGAATGTTTCATTGTAATAACGCACAATAATTTTCTCAAGCTCGAATTCACACCCTTGCATAAAAAGAACTTCTTATGAAGAATTTTTTGCCATACATAAATTCCCTATAACTTATACATATTGTTCTTCTCCTTTTCTTTCGTGTAATTAACACAGAATATTCACTGTAGCCTTGCATAGTAATTTTAATATTTAATTCATTAGCTAGGAAGTAGCCCCTTTTTTTTGTATTTGTGTTGTCCGAAAATGGTCTGGGGAAGATATCCATTTTTTTTTTTTTATGAATAAGATGTCCATTGTGCTCGTAACCTTTCTGGTGAATAATTAATTTAATTGACAGTGATCTCCTTTGGAATTGTAGATATGGGCTTTCCATTCACTTTCATTGAGCCAGCAAACAGCGTTGATTTGCAAGGCAATGGGAGGATAGGCCGAGCAAGCAAAATAGAGAGAGGAACAAGCACAAATCTAAATCCAGGATTGGATTCAGCTTTTTACGATTAACTCATGTTTATATACGTACGTACATAATAATAATAATAATAATAATAATAATAATAATAATAATAATAATAATAAATTTCTTTCCTTCTTCTATTCTCGGTTTCTTTGTTTTTGCTGATGATCTTTGTTTGTAGTATGAATTTGATTGTCCAATGTGTGTTTTATAGTTCTTATATGTACTTTTATATTTTTATGCCCCTTTTTGGGTAATTTATCGTATGATCTTTATACCGCCTCGTAAACATATTGATTTCTGGAGCTATTTTTCATGTACTCTGAACCAATTGACCAATTCGTCCTGTTCTAGTAATTTAACGCTTGAATCGTTATCCAATCGACGCCCAGTTCATAGTATACGGTTAAATGCCTAACTCGAATCCATCGAATGGCCCATAAAAAATTTTCAGCACAAATCAATTGGTTCGAGACAAGTCTAGTCGAACAACCGTCACTATTAGTTTAGATGGGGATCCGTTTCCAAGGCAAGGCCCAGCTAGCCTCGCATTTGGACTGGGCCGCTACAAACGGACCCTCGTTAAGAAACTAGAGGCCCTAATCCGTTGCAAAGAAGGAAGAAACCCAAAAAAAAAACCCTTGGGAGAAGAGAGACAGCATCCATAAGCCGTAACCCGCAAGTTATTCAATTCCTTGTAGAAAAGGGATTGAGGCGGCGGACCGGAAATTTCGTTTCCTCTATAAAAACCCCAACCTACTGTCCTATCCGTCCCACCAAATCAAAACTTCACAACACACAGAGAAAAATCCCTCTGAGAAAGAAGGATGCCGAAGAACAAGGGGAAGGGCGGGAAGAACAAGAAGCGAGGGAAGAACGAAGGAGTCGACGGCGAAGAGAAGCGTGAGCTCGTGTTCAAGGAAGACGGGCAGGAGTACGCGCAGGTCGTCCGTATGCTCGGCAACGGCCGCTGCGAGGCCACCTGCATCGACGGCGTGAAGCGGATGTGCCACATTCGAGGGAAGATGCACAAGAAGGTCTGGATCTCGGCGGGCGACCTCGTCCTCGTCGGCCTCAGGGACTATCAGGACGACAAGGCCGACATCATACTCAAGTACTACGCCGAGGAGGCCAGGCTACTCAAGGCCTACGGCGAGCTCCCCGACACCATCAAGCTCAGCGAGGGGATCGACGACGACGGTGACGATGGCCTGGAAGATTTGATCGAGTTCGAGGACGAGGACATTGACAGGATTTGATGAATCTGTGAAGTACTAGTTTATCTGTTTTTTGTTCCTTTTGGATAGTTAATTGTTTCATGTGCTAGAATGGTGGATCAATCTGTGAAGTACTAGTTTATCTGTTATGATACATCATTGTTACTGTTTTGCTTGGACGATTTATTCTTCTACTTTCAAGCCTTGAAGAAATCTGCACTCTTTTTTATTACAAATCACGAAAAGCAAAACAGAACAATGGGGGTAGCACTTAGGTCACATGAATTCCAGTCATAGGGCAACCTCTACTCTACACATGTTACTACTACATACATGACACGACGGATGTGATTCCTCACGATGCAAACATAATCGAGAATTGAAAGATACTTCTCTCTTCGTATCGTTAACTCGGGATCTCATTCCGTCCCAGCAATCTTCTTCTTCAATGTCTCAATATCTGTAGCCAGTTCTTTCCTGCTTTGCTGACAGGTATAAACAATAACGTGTTAATAACCATACACAGATGCATTCAAACAAGTCGTTGTATCTTGTGGGAAAGGCCAAGGCGAAGTAGGCAACCAACTCAGGGAGGGAGGGTATCAGTCTTATCTTTACCTTGAACAGGAGGTATCTGTAGACAAACCAGCCGGTGTAGCCAAGCCCGACCAACTCCATGATCTTAGGGAGCTGCAAGTTTGCAGAACAAAAACGGAGAAGAGCCAATTACTTATGTAAACAACCATTGTCATCCACACTATTATAGCAAACCATCGAAAACTCCGACTTACCAAAGGCACCGAATTGATGGCACCTACGAGAATGGATGATAGCCAAACAGCGACTATTGCCCCACCTCCATAGACAAGCACGGTGGACTTGTTCTCCACTGCATCCCACTACTCGGGGCACAAACATGTTCAGTTTAGTTTTCGCCAATTGCTCTAATGCAGCAAGCACATACGCTACAAAGCATTCAAAAACACGGGGGTAAAAGCAAATACAAACCATTCACCAGCTTGAAACTCACCTTCTCCTTGAGATCGGTGAAGATCTCACTAGTATCGACCGAGCTCTCATCTGAAGAGGTGGCTCTGGTCTGGAGCAGGGAAACCCGCGAGGATTCTGCTTCGGATGAAGATGAAACAATAAGCATGTACACATATTCATAGGTGAATGAAATGGCATAATACTACTTCAATTTAGCATATGCCTCCTTCTATATCAACTACCAACATCCAGGTTTTCTAATCGACATTCTAACAAACCCAATATAACTCACAACAGCTGCCTTATCCTGGCAAATAAAAAGGCAAAATCAATGGCTGAAACAAGAGCTTGATTCACCCGCCCTAACATTCGGTAGCGCCGAAAGAGCAAATGCAAATTGCTCTCAATCCTAAAGAATGGAAGACACACAACAACACAAGGTGGAAACCAGATAACATTTTTCCCGGGATTTTCCAGGAAACAGAATTCCCAACGCCTGTCTGAAACTAGGGCGAGTAGGAAAGTGAAAACAGTGGCGCGATTGGGCGGCGTAACAGTGAAACAAAAGCGTACCTGAGAGCGCTTTGAGCGAAGCAGGCGAGAAGCGGGAGGAGGAGGAGCGAGGTGGAAGGAGAGGTAAGCGAGAGCAGCGGACGGTTCTAACGGCGGGGATGGCAGGGAGTAGGAAGGAAGTGGTGGAAGAAGCGGCCGTAGCTGCCGCCGGGTACATCGTCGCCGCCATTGGAGATTCAAGATTGTGTGGTTGAAAGAGAGAGAGAGAGGGGAGGAATTTCTTACTCTCTCAGCTCTTCTCTTTGCCGGGGTCTGTGGACTTCTTTTCTCCTTTCTCAGTTTTGTTTGTTAGGCTGTGTGTTTGACTTGGATTGGATTCCACTGTTTCTTATTTACTGATTCTCCTGCGCGACACGTGGATGCTTCAAGCTATTTGATTGGTCCTTTGGCTATCTCAAATCCTTTTTGCGTGGCTAGGCTAGGCTAAATATTGGAGACATATTTTCTTTTAATTTATGATAATCAGTCCATGTGAAAAACATAGTATAGTATGGTGTTAATGCTAATAATAACCGAAAATTACCAACAGAAAAGATAAATTAACAGTTGTGTTAAATCTATATTTTTTGTATTGTTAATTTATGATTTTCAGCTTTTGATCAGGAGAATCCAATTAAAATTAAGTAATACATAACAAAAACTAAGGAAATATATAACAAGAACGCTATTTAGCATTAACAGGGTTATTTTCAGGAATATTGTTTTTTTTTTTTTAATTTACCACGAATATAGTGGTTTTAAAACTATTTACAGGAATATTGTGTTTTTTGATATGTTGAAAGCGCCGAAGCTCCAGTCCGGGGCGCCGGCGCTAGGTGCTTTTTAAAAAAAAAAACTCAGCGCCGGCGCCCCGGACTGGGGCTTTGGCGCTTTGGAGATAGAAAAAGCGTCGGCGCCCCAGACTGGGGCTTCGTCGCTGCCATTTTTTCCCACTCCAGCACCTCCCATTCCATTATATATACTGCACCTTTCCTTCGGTTCTTCATCACCAAAAAACTGAAAGAAGTTCTGAGAGAAGCTCTGGTGTTGCTGTCTGGTTGCTGGGAAGATGGCTGATAACAGGTAAGAGTCGTAATTTTTTTTTCCATGTATTCATCATAATGATTTTGTCCAATTAGTAATTAGAGTTTGTTTTTAATGTAGTGGTTTTAGGAGATTTGAACTAGCTGTTCGGTGGCGATCAGAGAAAGTAGAAGACAATTTGGGTGTCCATTTTGTTGGTGGTTTAAGTTTCCAGATTACTATTCCATCCAGGGTGAACTATCAGAAACTTTGTGATCATCTAATTCGGAGAATACGGATTAGAGACGAAACAGTACAAGATAGTGTTGTGATTACAGGTTTCACCTACTGTCTTCCAGAATGGCAAAATGGTGTTTTATTTCATCATGCAATGCCTATTGTCGATGATGATAGCTTAAATGTGCTTTGGAATTTTATGGCACAAAATTCTTATTGTTTGGGTGCTGAGATACATGCTGAGCTCAGTGAGGATCGGGATGGAGAGGAAGACGATGATGACGGTGATGATACATGGAGCGTGCCATCCGATCCTGCCTTTGATGACGATGATGACGAAGAGGAGGAAGATGAGGAGGAGGAGGAAGACGAGGAGGAGGAGGAGGACGACGACGACGGGGAGGGAGGAGAACTACCTAATTATCCTCCATATTTTTACTTGCAGGGTAATGAAGAGGACGAGGAATTATCATATGCTGATTCATATGGCGTAATTCCAGGGTCTACTGTTGGTGGTTTTGATGGAGAATTCTACAAGGGGCAGATATTTCACTCGAAACAAGCTGCACAGGTGGCGATTAAGCACTATGCACTACAACGCAACTTTCAGTATAACGTGGTGGAGTCGTCACCTTCAATCTGGAAGATCAGATGTTTGATGCACAAGGAGGACAAATGTCCTTGGATGGTGCGGTTTGGATGTCGAGATGTGGGAGGCGATTGGAGCGTGAGAAAGGTCGAGTTGGTGCATACTTGTAGCAGTACGACTCAACCGACGGATCATCGCCATCTTGATGTCGACGTGATATCTGAGGCCTGTCAAACATTTGGTACGTGCCCAACCAAATCTGAGTGTTCTAACTGTGCAAGCCGAGTTGAAAGATAAGTTTAATATGCAAGTTACTTACAAGAAGGCTTGGTATGGGAAACAAAGAGCATTGGAGAAGTTGCATGGAAATTGGGAAGAATCCTATGATTTTTTGCAGACATTCTTGCGGGTGGTCAAGAGAAAAATGCCAACATCGGTGATTGATTGGGTAAGAGTTCCTTCGACTCAACCAGGTCATTCGATATTTCAGCGAGTATTTTGGGCTTATGGACCTTGTATAGATGGATTCAAGTATTGTCCAGGCGTCATTGTTGTTGATGGGACATTTCTTACTGGGAAGTATAAAGGAGTGCTACTCATGGCGAGCTCATTTGATGGCCGGAAGAAGATTTTTCCAATTGCATTTGCCATAGTGGAGAGTGAGAATACTGATAGTTGGCCATGGTTCATACGTCACGTTCAGGGTTTGACTGATCGAAATGATGTATGCATCATCTCAGATAGACATGCAGGACTCTATGAAGCCATGAATAACATCGGAAGAGGTTGGGAGTGGAGGTGGTGCATGCGACACTATGCAAGCAATTTGCAAAGGAAGACTAAAAGCAGAATTATGTATAAGCAACTATTTCGAGTCGGTAAGCCTTCTTCATTTAATTTTGTTATTTATTTTTAGGTAAGTTTGTCATGAATTTATCTAACCCGTGTGGTTGATTATTTTGTTAGCCGGAGAAAAACGCTTGGAGAAGTTCGATCGTCAAGTTGAGCAATTTAAGAAGGTGGCCACTGATAGAAATATTTCATGTGATAACTGGGTGGACCAACATCAGATTCGTTGGAGTTTAGCACATGATAACTTCAATGGTGGGCGTCGTTGGTCTATCCTGACATCCAACATGGCAGAAAGCATCAATGGTGTTTTCAAAGGTATTCGTGCACTTCCTATAGCTTCTCTTGTGCAACATACCTATTGGCGATTGGTGGAGAAATTCGATAAGTACAGGTTGGAGACAGGAGCAGAAATTAGGAGTGGTCCTTCACAGTACTCCACCAAGTGCGAAGAACTGATGAAGCCGTGGTCACAAAAGGCAGTTGGGCATTCTGTGACAGCTCTTGATCGAAGTCAAGGCATCTATGTAGTTCAGACTCCCCCCAACAATTTAAACATGACGGGGTCAAACACACTCACAGTGCACTTTGACGACCACAACCGGACGGGATTTTGCACTTGTGGGAAATTTCAAGGAAATAAAATTCCTTGCTCTCATGCCATTGCAGCTTGCAACCGAATGGGAGCCCATCCATATAGGTTTGTAAACGACGTCTACAAGCTTCGAACAGTGCTTGCTTGTTATGGGACAAGTTTCTCTCCTCTTGGTGAACCTAAGGGTTGGAAGAAGCATAATGACACTACTCTCCATCCTAATCTGGACATGATTAGAAAGCCGGGGAGACCAAGATCAACACGAATTCACAACGAGATGGATTGGCCAAGGGAGGGTTCATCACAGCAAGTGTGTAGCAACTGTAACCAAGCGGGACATAATGCATCAACCTGTGGTGGCCAAGCAAGTGGGAGTGGGAGCAACCGAAGAGGGAGTGGTGGCCAACGAAGTGCGAGAGGTGGTAGAAGAGGAGGAAGTAGAGGGAATAGACGTGGCTGAGAAGTTTGTTTGAATGTAGCAGTTGTTGTTTTTCTTTCGATTTATCTTGTTGAAGTTGTTGTTTGGACTTGTTGTTTGGACTTGTTGTTGTTTGAAGTTGTTGTTTTTTGGAGTTGTTGTTGTTTGAAGCAGTTGTTGTTTGGACTTTTATGAACTGAACTAGCTTTTGGAATTTGTTGGTTTTATATTTAAAGTCTCAATTTAGACAACAACAATAACATGAATTAGTCCGCATGAAATTAAAAATAGTCCAAAAAATAAGTACATAATAATAAATAGTCTCAAGAACGAAAGTACATAATAATAATTCATAGTCATAAAGAACATAATAATAATAGATATCTCAACATAGTACATAAATACACTAACGACCACCACGACCACCGCGCCGACCACCACGACGACCACCGTGCTCTGCCACTAGATGGCCGCCAGTACCACACCTAGCTGGCCTCCTGTCTCGTGGAGGCAACTGCTCAGCTCTCTCCGCCCCATCATCCTGATCCTGTGTGCCGAACATATCATCCACCTGGGACTGAACCTGCTCATCCGGTGGACCCTCTCGTCGCTGCTGCTCATATGCCCAATGAGATGTCTGGAAGTCCTGATCCTGCATCTGCAGATCGACACGCTCCCACTCGTCGACGTCCAAATGTGGCAGGACTGTACTACCTGATCCCATGTGCCCTCCTCCCATCGTAGCATGCTGAGGTGTGTGAAAGCTATCCTCCTGGGCCTGAAACTGAGGGCTAGAAGAACTGGTGCCTGCCTGAAATCCGGTAGAAGCGCCTGGCCGTAACGGTGGCTGAGAAGGCTGGTGGAATGTGAAGGTCGAAGTAGGTCTGACTGGCTGACGATCTGAGTACCTCACTCCACGAGGTACGTCACCCTGCTCACGTCGCTGTCTCCTCCTCCTGGGCTCCTCTATGAACTGTGGCGGTGGCACGCCCCAGCCCGATGGCTGAGTCCTACGCTCTGGCCAGCTGGCTAAGCTACGCTCATCAGGGTACCGCTGTACTGGCTCTGTATCCGAATGTCGGCGATGACTAAAACCTATAGCTGTAACACCTGCCGCCAACTGGTCAGCATACTCCGCCATCTGGTCATATGATAGCCCTCCTGCTCTCATCCCATCACGTAAACCCTGCTCAACGGTCTCCATGCAGTCGTACTGCAATTTAAATGGAAAATATCAGAAATTCCACACATCTAAAAACAATTAAAACACAAATTTTAATTACTAAAAAAACTCACCGCTGCGTTCAGTGCAGCAACTCTCCGTGTGCCTGAACGTCTAGTGACATCTCTATACCACTCTTGATGCTCCGAGTGGTAAGCTAATTCCACGTCACTGTAGCTCGTCTGCGCTACGAACTCATGTCGACGGTTCCACAACTCAATCGACTCGCTGGCTGCCTGTAAGAACTGCTGGCCACGTGATGGTCCATGCTGTCCCACACGAAGAAAAAATCTAATCTCAGCCGCGGAATGTGGAGGATGAGGCCGGTCCTGAACCATTCCAAACTGTCCTAGCACGCGATCTGGATGATGCCACATCTGCGATGAGAAGCAGATCAGCGGAACCACTGCTCGAAACGTGTGGGACTGGATCACAGTACCGCTGTAGTCCAGACCTCTATGAAAGTACGGACGCCACTGCACACAAGGATTGGTCACATAATTACTCCTAAATCTATAATAAATCAATTAAAACTATTCTATAAAACTAAATGTTATATACTAACCACGAATGTCGTGCACTCGTCAAACCACAGCTTGTACAAGTAGAACTGATCTCCATGCTGACGGGTCTGAGCCGGAAGCCACCGAATGCCACGTGGCACTGCGTCCTGAGTAATCTGCGCACCCGTCACCGCATGTAGTGGTGATGTATGAGGAAACCGCTCCCACGTCCAGAGCATCAGCAAGGCGGCCCATCCACCAAAGTCACCACCCAGTGAAGAAGATGCCGTCATCTGCAGCGCCGATCTACCCATCTCACGGTACAAGTAGGATAGCACAGCTGCTCCCCAAGCAAACCTCCCCGCTCTGCGCCAATCCTCTACCAAAAGTAGATACTGCAGGTGAACTGAACCTCCAGACCGATCGGAGAACAAGACACCTCCCATCAGAGACAGCGAATACGCTCTAGCATACTGCTCTGTCGTCTCTGGTGATGCAGAAAGCGGTAGCTCATCGAAAGTATCCCTGAGCCAAGTAATCCGGATGACGCCGCCACCAAGATCAGTAGGAGCCTGTCCTAACAGTCGAAGACACATAGCCGACCAGTCCTCGTCTGGTATGTCTACTATGACGGCATCACCGTCGATCGCTAATCCAGTGAGTGTCGCAACGTCCTCTAGAGTGATCGTCACCTCACCGAACGGCATGTGAAATGTCGATGTCTCGGGTCTCCAACGCTCTACGAGCGCAGTAATCAAACCCGGATCACCGGTAAGAGGGGCTAGTGGCAGAACACTAGACAAGCCGGCATCGACGAGATACGGCAGGTACAGTGGATTGTATCGAACTAAATTGCCCGTATGACGAATGTGGTATGGTCGATCACCAGCCTATAATTAATTAATGCACAAAACTATATTAATTCAATTCCTTCAATATAATATTCTTAATTTAATCTAATTCTATTCTTAATTTTTATATATCTAAACTAAACTTATTCTAATATAATATTCTTAATTTAATCTAATTCTATTCTTAATTTAATTTAATTCTATTCTATTCTATTTCTATTATACCGCTAATAAAAAAAACTATAGAAATAATTTAATTTAAAAAACTTACCTCATTTGCCCAAACTGCGTCAATCCGATGGTGACCATGCCCCCAAAGAAGTTCCGGATCATTCGGAGCAGTATCGATTGTCGTAGGTGGTGGTCTCATCGAACAAGGATCGATAAGCCTAGGAACTGAAGAAAAAAAATGTTAGACAAAAAAAAAAAAAAAAAGTCGCCGGAAAAAGTCGCCGCCGGCGAGAAGCCGGCCGCCGCCGGCAATACTCACTCCGGTAACGTTCGCCGCCGCCGCCGCCGCCGCCATCACCGCCACCGCCGCCACGCCGACCTCGCCGGCCTCGGCCTCTTCCTCTGCCGCCGCCGGGGGCCTGCTCGTCGTCCGACATTGCGCCGCCGCTAGAGAGGTGGCGACTTCGCCTTGTGCCGCGCGCCGCCGCCTTGGACTGTGGCGCTGCTGCCTTTTTCTCGGCGTCGCCGCTTGTTCTTGGCGCTGGGATGGAGAGAGGAGTGGAGAGGGGAGGTGGGATGGGTCTGGTCTGGTGTGGTGCGAGAGGGGGAGGGGGGAGGAAGGGGGTAAAAAAAAATTAAACTTGACAGCGACAGCGCCTCGGTCTCGGGCTTTGGCGCCTCTTAAAATTTTTGAAATTTCAGAAGGCGCCAATGCTCGGGACTGGGGCGCCGTCGCTATCAACAGCGTTTAAAACTTGAATTTCTAAGTCTCGGGCGCCGTCGCCGACTTTCTTCCTAAAAACACAATATTCTTGTAAATAGTTTTAAAACCACTATATTCCTGGTAAATTAAAAAAAAAAACAATATTCATGGAATTACCCCAGCAACACAAACATTATAATACTAAGAAACACAGGAATGCATACTAAAATTGCTATATTACATACCAGATATCCTACAGCATGCCAGAAAATACTAAAATATACACTAAAAATCTTCTAAAACATGTTAGAACACACGAGAATACATACGAAAAATGGAAGAATGTATGCCAAAAATTGAGAACTGTCAATCGCTATGATAATTTTTTTAAAAAAAATTGACAATTATTTTACCTAAAATGAAAATTGTGACTGTTATATTATTGTGATCCTATTTGAATTTATTAAAGAGGTTTATTTTATTTTTGGCATAATCCAAATGCATTTTTGATTTTTTTCTAGTTTGCTTATATTTTCCATCAAACTAGCATTTTGCTTTTCACTCCTTACTCTTTGTATAAACATTTTTAGTGTTCAAAAATCAGAGTGGATGAAAACCCAAAAATGAAAGTTGGCATCACGCATTTGATCCACCAACCCATGATATAAGAACCTAACTCCATCGAATAAGATCCAACGATCACTGTAGAAGAAATAGTGACGAGCTCACGAAATAGAATTGTGTTGTATCTCGCCAACAAACATTCCCAAAACCAGCCACCGATACTCGAAGGGGTAGAGGCGTCTAAGGTCTCTCTAACTAGCTATGAAGGACGATTACAGTTCGGGTATCCACTTTGCTAACCAAACCGAAACCATCTGGTTTGCGATTAAGAAGGCTTTTATGGAATCACAGTTAACAATATGCTCTAATTCGCGATTTAACCACAATCACAACCGAACAAAGGATAACCGATTAACAAACCGCAATAGAAGACGGGGAAAACTACAAGATACAGAGTGACTTATTCCAAATAAGATCAACCTCAATCTAATAAACTGATTCCCACCAAATCTAATAGAGTTTATACAAATACGGGGAAACACCAGATACCCAGTAATCTACCATCTGCTCATCCAGTGAAAGCATTAACCGGTGGCAAGTTCACAGATGGCACAAATGGTCGTCAAAGGTGGCCATGCCAGTTGGTTCGCTTCAAATGTACAACCACTCCTCAATGGTCACTAATAATAATAATAGTAATCATCTCTCTCCCCTTCCTTATCTCTCACCACTCTCAATAAAAATTACATTAGTTTCTCTAACAGCGCTGCAGCGGTAGCGTTAGCTTACAAAGTGAAATCCCCAAACTTCTTCAGTCTCGGAAACATACTGTTCATCTAACTCCATCTCTACTGCCAACCCCTCAGCAATAATTCTGGGCTTGTAATTATGCCAGAATTATCTTGGTTGCTTCTGCCCCTCGGAAAGAGTCGTTCGAAAAATGAAAACGAAAAATAGGTGAGATCGAATTCTACAGATAAAAGAGGATATGAACCTGTCTGGGATGGGGCTGGCTGTGTTCATCAACCAGCAGGCACAGCATCGGCGGCCCTGGGACTCGCATCCAGCAGCTGGCGCAGCTTAGCACCCGATTTCGGGTTCCCATCCTCTGCAGCATTTCCCTCTTCCGCTACACAAGCTGCTGAAGAATTATTTACCCTCGACAGCAAGTTCTCTGTACTATCAGCCGTGCCCCTCGGCTCCTCCACATTGTTCAAAGCTATCTCCTGTGCCTGTCCTGATTGCGTATTCTTTAGCTTCTCCTGCATATCGCACACTAACTGCGGTAAATACCTTCTCACAAGAGAGAAATTTTGGTCTAAACAATCTCACTGGACATCTGGATACAAGGATGGCACAGGGCGTACCACTAGTGTTGCATTCTCTACTTTTAGTTGATCCGACTTCTCCTTCAGTTGAGTTATCTCGGACTTCAGCGCCATATTCTCGTTGTTCAAGGCATCGACTTTACGTGCAAGTTCCTCAGTCTCAGCCTGCAAGAGAGACGCAAAAGCTTAGGTTCAGATAATAACCACTCGAGCATATACAACCGCCACCAGTCAAAGCCGGGGAATCTATATTCCTCACCTGCTTTCGTAGTCTTGATCTCCTAGCAGATTCTCGATTGGACTGTTTCCTTCTCTCACGTTTCAGTTCTCTTTCATTCGGATTCGCGGCTGGGTACTGAATCAAGCAAAACCAGCAGAGGTTGTAGGGATCATATACACACATGATGACTTCGAGAGATGTTTGTACAAGTTTTTTTTTTTTGGTACAACTATACCTGTAACCAAGCCTCAGATGGCACCACTGTACAAGGTTGTGGAACGCCAGCAGAATTTCTCAGGTCCAATGATGTCATGCCAACAGGAGGCCCAGCTGACCTTCCTGATGATGCAGCAGTTACAACCCCTCCCTTATCAGAAGAATTGCTACCATCTGTCGCATGGGATTCAGTTTTCAAGTCTCCCCCTGTTAAAGAAAGATGCAAAGGGTCAAAAACAGGAGGAATGTGCACCATAAAATTGTTAAGTTGGCTTATCTCATTCCAAAGACATTGTCAACCAATCTTCCAACAAATGTAGTAGCCAGGGGCATCTACATGACTTTAGCAGAAGCTAAAGGCGGTAACAACTAAAGCACCAACTATAGTAACACAGACAAAGTAAACTGGTAGAGATTCTGAGGCATACCAATTGTAGGAGTCCCCTCGTGACTTCTCTTTCTTCCCTGTCATACACATCCAGAATCACATGCAAGATTTAGCACTCGCCCAGCTTATACACAAAATACCCCTCATAAATAATACTTGGTATGTATTGAAATTTACAAGGCCTCACCCCAGCAGTATTCCCGTCGCTCCCGTCACTTGAGCCTTCAGTCTCCGCACTGTTAACAAACAACATAGAGATGAGTGTCACAGGTAGGTGCCAAAGGTGGCAGAAAACATTAAGTTTTGACGAGAAGGGTAAGGACAGAGAGCTAAATCATCAGCTCCTAACCTCTGGGACATCCTGTGGTCACCACCATCAGCACTCTCAGCAGTACCATTACCATTTCCAATGGACATGGCGAGCCCATCAAATCCTTTCAGCTTCTTCATCAGACTTTGATCAGTGTTGCCTGAAGACTTTGTTGGAGTTTCAACACTCGGAGGTGCTGCAACCTGTATCATTTTCCACAATTACATCCACACTCGGACACCAAAGATTAAGCTGAGTAACACACCACAAACCAGCCATACTTAAGATAAGACATTTTCACTTACAGTAGGTGATGACTGAACGCCGGGAGCATGTGGATGTGATCCCTAAAAACATTTCAGGAAAGCAACGAAATGTCAGAAGCTCTTCATAATATGGTAGAGGGAGGGCAAACAAGTGTATAATGCCCCTACTTAATTCTGACATTGTTCAGAACCTAAATCAACCAACTTATATTAACAAGCTTGGAGACAAGTTCCGATGTCTGAACAAAAACACATTGCAAGGGACTTAGCAGCCATTTACCTTCTTGTTAGAAGTTCAGGGATTGTTAGTCAAGAAAATTATATTACAATCAGAAACAAGGAAGGCCTGCACTACAAGACCTATCTCACTTATCATCATACGAACCACTTAAACCTGTATACGCAGTAGAATTTACATATATTAACTAATTACACATTCAGTGTGGCTCCTACAGTACTACTCGATGCTAGTATGTTATCAGCACCATATCAGTAGTTTACTTCCACCTTCAGGAAAGCAAACCTTCAGGAACAGGCAACCCACATGTTGAAAGTGCAACCAAGGGAAAAAATTATCGGAGGCACTTACAATTGGAACAGCTGGATGGGCATATACTCCTCCCGAGTAGATAGCTGCATAAGGGGCTCCATAATGCGGCATCATATGCTGCAGAATTCAAATTAATCATAGCTTACGCCACCATAGAAATCACAGTTCCAACTGTAAACACAGGTGCAAAGCTATTTGCACATCTCAACAGTGAAATATGATCACTGAAGAATACCTGTGGCGGACCCCACATATATGGATGAGGGGGATGACCTGATGCCATAGGTGAGTTGTAATATGGAGGAAGAGCAACTCGAGGGCCATAATAAGCCTAAAACAATTTAGACAGAAGCATCAGTTTCAGACGGAAAACACCAGTCACGCGCTGCTAATTTCTGTGAATGCTAAGCAAAGACACAGAAGAGAATAGTGTCATGTGTAAGAGAGATACCTGCATAGCTGCCCAGTCAGGATACACATGGATATTAGTTTGCTCCTATCAACGAAAAGGAAGAAAAATTGTGACAATCAGAACTCAGAGCCGAAGTAGCTAACGCCATGAAACATCTCAAACAGGCAGTAAAAGCTAAAGACAAGACCACTCAATTTTCTGGCTTACCGCTGGCGCAGTAGGAGGAGGTGAAGATGATTTTTCAGACTTGGAGGACGACTTCCCCTCCTCGTTGTTTCCCATGGTCAAGCACCAAAAAGAAACCCTTTAAACACCTTCAGGTCTCAGAACTACTCATTCACCTTCCTGGAGGTCAAATATGACAAGATTGATTAACAAACATGAGCCCGAAGTATGAATAAGCAAATGGCATCAAGAAACTGCGCAATAGTATTGCAGACAAAACAACAGACGGTAAAAAACACTGCTGACCAGGTCGAAAGATCTGAATCTAGACCAACCAATAGCAACACAGCTTTAAAGCGTGAATATTTGGTTAATCATCCCTACAATATGCAAGAAACTTGACCTACTTTAGTCAACCAAACTCAAGCACACGGAAAAGAGGGGCCGATTGTTGAAAGCAGTCACCTTCGATTCAATTGATGGAAATTCAAAACAAGGGTTTGACAAACAGCGTGCCTCTAACCTTAACAAGAGAAACTTTAAGGGTAATCCGTACCTTCCCCCCATAACCAAAAAGATTTACCACCAAGTAGAAATTACAGATGCAGAATAGGGCAGAACGCAGCAGAAGAAGCAGAGTAGAAAACCAGAAATGCTTGAGATTTCCCTAGATAGAAAGGGTAGTAGTGTCTTTCCACCACCACGTTGGCTGACTGTAAAGTGATAGATACAAGCGATTAAGCTTCATGAAATCCATCTCGCAGCCTATGTCCACCCAACTAAAAGACAGGAATACCCTTGAATCCCTAACGAACACTGGCTCAAAAAATTCGCCTATCTGGCTAGGGATGGCAATTTACCCACCCATGGGTAATTTTGCCCAAACCCAAGTAGACCCATTTATTATGGGTAGGGTTTGGGTGATGTGTGTATGGGTTTGGGTTAGATATGGATATTATCTAAATGGGTATGGGTTGGATATGGATATCCATTTACTTGAGAGTGTTTTAACTACACATGCAAAAATTGGACTTATTTGTAAAACTTGAAAATTTTAGGTACCAAAATGTAAGACCAAAAAAATTAAGGTACCAAAACGTAATTTTCCATCGATATTTTGAGGACTTATATGCAAAAAAAATTAAATTTAGGTACTAAATATACATATCTATTAAGTTTAGGTACCAAACTGTAATTTGTATTTGGGCATGGGTGCAATCCCAAATCCAACCCAAAGTAAATGGGTATGGGTACAAACCCATCAAACTTTACCCATATCCATATATTTGGATTTCATACCCAACCCAATTGGGTTGGATAGTAAAATACCCATGGGTATGGGCAAAATTGCCATCCCTATATCTGGCTAATAATTTAATTCCCAAACGCTCCTTTGCAAATTGCAAAATCCCAAATCTGAAAAAACGCCAGAATTGCATCTCCTGAATCTCTCGCGGCCTTCACACACTCGCCGGCAGATTCGAGAAGGAGAATAAAATAGACGGAAGGGCGCACGGAACAGGGTAAAGGTGAGAACCCGAGAAGGAATTGCAGATTTCCGACTAAAAACTAGCGAGATCAGGTAGGGTTTGAAGCTTTTAGCTACTGTTCGCCACCTCAAACACACGGTGGGGGCTCAGGGGAGGGAAGAGAAGGGAAAACCTATTTCTCCACAATAGAAATCCGTTTTTAAAATTCTCCCGAATTTTATGAAACAGAAGAACGAGAAAGAACTCTCCACCGTTCTGCATTTTCTCACCAACCAAACAGCAGGGAGACAAGAATTCACAACGAAAATCCTTTATTTCCAACCCTAAATCAGACATACCTTCACTCCGGCTCTCGAATCACGGATCAGTCCTGCAACCCTGTCCTCCAGGAGAACAAAAACAGCAGCTGGGTGGGTGCACCAAATGCTCACACTTCGATTTTCAATTGAGCACACAAAAAAAATCCAATCAGCTCACAGAAAGCGCATGGCTGAAACTCACAGCCTCTGCATTCCTTAACTCGCACAATCCCTCTCTCTCTCTCTCGCTCTCTGGGTGTGAAGAAGAGAAAACGAACACACAGAAAACACAAATGGCCTCCTGTTATTCTGCAGAGAGAGAAAAAAAGAAGAATGGAAAACAGGACGGAGAGAGGAGGAAGAGAAGGAGATGGGGGAGCGCCAGGCCAACATCCACGTCAACAGACACGTGTCTAGTAGCGAGAAGAGCGTATACGTACACCGTATATACGACGGGGGTGTGGTGGTTGTTGAGCTGGCCCGTCGATATTCGCGCTGTCCATTAATTTATTCCAACGTCACTTCCGCCGTACACGTGGTGGGGAGTGAGTCGGTCTACGCGTCCCGAGCGAAGGGTCCAACCTATTCCACCCGTCATGTGGCTTACGTGTCCTGCTTTATTTTAATTTTTTTGCTATAATAAATTATGCATTTTTAGGGGAATTTTCGTTTTTCTTTCTTCTCCGGTAAAATAGAGGATTAAACTACATTGAAGAGCAGCTTTGGAATCCACAAACTTGTTGCTCATTGGCGAGCCCATGGTGAGGGCAGAGGGCTTACGCCATCCTTTCCCTTTTACTAGAGGCCCAATCTGAAACCCTTTGTTCTGATTTGTTTCCCGGTACAAGTCTCGCTTCCATTTTTAACATCCAAGCCCAAAGATTTATTCCAATTTCCAAATCATCACATTGTTGAGTTATTTTTTTAGTGATTCGGATTGTGATTGATTTTGGGTGTGTTTTACAGCGAGAAAAATCTTGTGTTCGCACCTTGATCTTCTGAACAATGATAATTACATAGTTCACATCTTTCCGAATAATGTTCGAACGATAGTGTTTGATGTTTTTATGGTTTTTGGGGAAACTAAGTTAAATTACTCCTACTCTTATGGAGGTTCAGTGAGAGCTCCAGAAACTAAAGGCTACGACTATGGCTACATTGCGGAGAAAAAGATAAAGGTTGACATGTGTTGTCAAATGCTTGGAGTTGGATTATGGATTAAAATCCCACATCTATGGGATTATGCACAAAGTCCATGTTTGGTGTTAAAGTGGTGTTGGATTATGGTGTGTGGGTCCCTTATATGTGGGATTATTTTGAGGTCAAAATCCGTGGGATCCACTAGGTGTAACTACCTTGGTAACCGTCCTGGTAGCTGCTATCCCACCAGTTGCTCCAACCGCCATAGGGCCCCCTTGTCGCCTCCTTGGTGTTGACTCTTATCACCTTGGGGCCTCTTGCCCCGTCTTGTTGACTGGTTGGTACTTGATAGCCTCGAAACTCGGTAGGATTGGTGTTGAGTCTTGTTACCTTGTCTTGACTGGATGGGGTTGAAGCCCTTAACCTTGCCTCCATGATGAAGTCTCGACCACACCATTGGCAGCCTCCAAGACTCCATACTTAGTTTTGTTGCTATTGTCTTGCTCCTGCTTTTGTTGTCTCTTCGGCTTGATACCCCCTGCCACCAAGCCAGTCATGTCGCCCCTAGTTCACCGCCTTCCTTCCTCGTCAGGTCGAGCGCCACCTGCGAGGCTCCGACAGCACGAGGCGTGAGAGCAAATACATGGTAGACTGTCAGACAGAGTCGGCTCCGCCTCCGTCGCCACCGCCTCCGTCGCCACTCGCCACCTCCCTCTTCCCCGATCACCGCAACAATATCAATCGCCTGTCTTCCTCCCTATTCACGCCGTCGGCTCCACGCCTCCACCAATAGCTTGAACCCCATTCGACTCCTATTTCCTAATGTAAGTTTTGAATTTTTATTTTCCCTCTTGATTCGATGTATTGTGTGATGTTCTGTGATGTTTCAAGAGATTGATTTTATGTGATGTTTCAATTTGTTCCATCTTGTTTGTTGTTGCATTGAATTGGACAATTGGTTGTTTGTAGAAATCATACGAAGTAAACTACAATACAAAAATTTACTTATATACATTTATATTATTATGCATGCATTGATGGAAATGCATCAATTTTACTATCATCAAAACCAAACAATCCCTTAGATGTGGACAAGTAGGTTTGAGACTTTAGGGGTCGTTTGGTTTTAATGACAGTTCAATAGATGCATTGTTATCAATGCATGTATAATAATATACATGCATATAAGTAAATTGATGTATTGTATTACATCGTTGGTTTTTGTGATAGTTATTATATTATTTAAATAAGATATATTGCTTTCTTGGTGAAATGTCACTTTTTACTCTTTGTTTTTTATATAAAAAATAAAACACATCAAAAGGTAGGGACATAGTTGGAATAAGAAAACACTCCAACAATCTCAAATAAACGGAAAAAATCTCAAAATACACACGTTTTATGAAAAATGCCCAAAATACACATGTTTGGGCATCACTGCGGTCGTCAACCGCAGTGAATGCATTCGGAGGGACAGACGAAAGCGGTGAATGCATCACTGCAGTTGACGGGCGCAGTGAATGCCTGACCTAACACTGAAACTTCAACCGAACGCAACTTTGCGCTCGGTTATCCGATTCTAACGAAAAAAATTTCGATTCCACATAACTTTTCAAGATCTTTCAATTTGCAACAAGCCTTCATCCCAAAAAATTGTCGTTTGCTACCCTGAATGAGCAATTTTTTTATTTCACAAAACTTTGGAAGGCCATAACTTTTTTCTCCTCAATCCGAACGTCATAATTTTTTTTAGATTGCGCATAACTTCTTAAGAACTACAACTTTTACAAGAATTTTTTTAAAAAAGAAATATTCTTGGGTATACGGGATTTTGGGAATAATTTTGACTTTACTTTTCACAAATCCACATACATTCCAAAATTATGGTTATGATCAAAGTTGTAGTTCTTCAAAAGTTACGTGAATTCAAAAAAATTTCATGATATTCGGATTGCGGAGCACAAAGTTATGGTCTTCCAAAGTTTGTCAAAATCGAAAAATTGCTCGTTCGGGGTAGCAAACGACATTTTTTTGGGATGAATGCTTTTCGAATAACAAAATATCTTGAAAAGTTAAGTGGAATCAAAAAAATTCGCTACAATCGGATAACCGTGCGCAAAGTTACGATCGTTTGAACTTTTAGTGTTAGGTCGGTCATTCACCGCGGCCGTCACACCAAAAAACAATCTTAACAATCACACCAAAAACTTTAGATATTACTATCACTCATTTTGAGTGATAGTTTCCATGACATCAATCAAACTTTTTTTTTTTTTTTTGAATAACAACATCAATCAAACAATGCATGTATAGTTTGTAGAGAAAATTCAAAAACAAAATGCATTGTGGATTGTGGACAATACATGCATTGTAACTATCACAACCCAACATTCACCAAAACCAAACGAAGGTGATTTTAATGATTTTTTTTTATGCAGATGGGGCTATTGTCAGGCCGGTTATCGGTTTAAACCGACACAACCATCGGTTTTTCTGTTTTGCGGCTAACTTAACCAAAAATCGAAAACCATCTGGTCGATGGAGATGTTAACCAAAGGTTTGTTTCGATCGGCTATCGGTGACGCTTTGCTTGTCTTTCGGCTAACCAATAACCGATGTATCGATTTTTCAGTTAGACCAATAACCGATGTATCGAATTCCCCAACATATCGCGTGGTTCGTTGTTCCTGTCCGGTTTGGGTTGCCCAACGGAGAGAAGAACGAATTAAAGATAGAAAGAGTATTAATTGTGTTGGTGTTATGCAGTTGAGAGTGGTTGGATTTGCCGACGACGATTATGCTTCAGCTGAATTCTCCTCGATTCATTCATCCCTCCCCCGTTTTTGGCTGTGGAATCGAAAAACCAGAAAATAGAAAGGAAATTACACAAAAATAAAAACCCACCACCACGAGGGGCAAAACGAGAAGAGCCAGTAGGACGATTATTCCGAAGCCTCTTCTTCTTCATCTCCCCCCTCGTTCCCTCCGCCCTCGCCATTAAAATCACCTCCTCCTTCCTCCTCTCCGCCACCATTCCTTCTCCTTCCACCCAACAAACCCTTTTCTCTCGGGAGAAAGCGAGACAATGGCGTCTGCTTTCTCTGCTACTGCCAAGTTCGCGCAGCCTCTCCCTCTCAACACCACTTCCTCCGCTAGATCTCAAGACAAGCTCTCTCCCCCAGCTCTCTTCGACCCCTTCCGCACCTCTTCCTCCGCCGCCACTTCTCCCTTCCTCGGATCTACTCGCCAATTGCTATGCAAATCCAACCGACCTCTTTCCCACCGCCGATCCTCCTCCTCCTCCGCCGTCGTCGCCGTCTCAGACGTCAAGCAAAAGAAGCCCAAGTCTAGCTCCAATCTGGTAAATTGTTAATTACCCTTCTCTGCTGAGGTTGTGTATTTGTCTCTTTTGGGGTTAGCATTGCAGTTCAGAAAATTGATGAATTAGCCTAGATAGAATTTAAGACCCCCTTTTGAACGATTGGGGAGCTGAGTTGCTTAATTTCATTTCTTTGCTTTTTTTAGTTTATGGAGGTTTGTGCTTGCATTGCATGTGAGGCCCGACCAATTACCCTGATTTTAGCTTGTGACTAGAGGAGTTGTATAGAAGTGGGTTTGCTTCTCTTGCTGCTTGCTGAATTATCTGTTTTGGTGTTCTTAGTTGATTACTAAAGAAGAGGGGTTGGAGCTGTATGAAGATATGGTGCTGGGCAGATCATTTGAGGACATGTGTGCCCAGATGTACTACCGAGGCAAAATGTTTGGCTTTGTCCATCTCTACAATGGGCAAGAAGCTGTCTCCACTGGGTTCATCAAGCTACTGACCAAAGAAGACTCGGTGGTCAGCACTTACAGAGACCATGTCCATGCATTGAGCAAAGGTGTCCCTGCTCGTGCTGTGATGAGCGAGCTCTTTGGCAAGACAACCGGCTGCTGCCGTGGCCAAGGTGGATCGATGCACATGTTCTCCAAAGAACATAACGTGCTTGGTGGGTTTGCCTTTATTGGCGAAGGGATTCCCGTAGCAACTGGTGCAGCTTTCACCTCCAAGTATAAGAGGGAGGTTCTCAAGGAGCCCAACAGCGATCACGTCACTTTGGCCTTCTTTGGGGATGGAACCTGCAACAATGGCCAGTTCTTTGAGTGTCTGAACATGGCTGCACTGTGGAAACTTCCCATTGTGTTTGTTGTGGAGAATAACTTGTGGGCGATTGGGATGTCCCACTTGAGGGCAACTTCTGATCCTCAGATTTATAAGAAGGGACCTGCGTTCGGGATGCCAGGCGTTCATGTTGATGGAATGGATGTTTTGAAGGTTAGGGAAGTGGCTAAAGAGGCGATTGGAAGGGCTAGGAGGGGAGAAGGCCCGACCTTGGTGGAGTGTGAGACTTACAGGTTCAGAGGGCACTCCTTGGCCGATCCTGATGAGCTTCGTGACCCAGGTAAAAAAAATCACGACTAGATTCGAATATGGCATCTGGGGAATTGCATTTGACATGATTGTTGGATCACGAGAATAGGATTTTGATTAAACAAAAGAACCTCTTGTTTGTTATTGTTTGTCTTCTGGTAAGGTATTCCTGTCATCATCCCACGGTTTGTGAAGATGCTAAGCCACCAATCCTCTTTTTGTTTTGGCAGCTGAGAAAGCTCACTATGCAGCTAGAGATCCCATCTCACAATTGAAGACATACATGTTCGAGAACAACCTCGTGAACGAATCCGAGCTGAAGGCAATCGACAAGAAGATAGATGAGCTGGTGGAGGAAGCTGTCGAATTTGCAGACGAGAGCCCTGTTCCGGATCGCAGCCAGCTGCTGGAGAATGTGTTTGCTGATCCGAAGGGCTTTGGAATAGGGCCTGATGGGCGGTACAGATGTGAGGACCCCAAGTTCACCCAAGGAACAGCTCAGGTCTAAGATAAGAGACTGCCCCAGGAGTTAGGGTTATAATATAGCTAACGAGCAGTTGAGTGTGGTGCTCTCTTTCTCTGTTTTTCTTTGTTTAATTTATGATATGGTTGTGTTCTTCTGAATCGAGAACAGGGTAATGTTATTTGCTGTTTAGTTTCTTTCCCCCCATTCCTTCTTCCATTTTAAAATTTTAACGGAATAATTGCTGTATACTTTGCCTTTTTGTTGTCTTCCAATTGTTCATTTGTAATTCCAGCTATTCTTGTGTGTTTCGACTATATAAACGCATTCGAACTTCTGCAAGTCTGTTTTGCCGACTCACCATCTTCTCCCACAAAGCAGTGTCTCTCTCTTGCTCCTTTCCGCCCTCATCTATCCATTGGGAATTTGGGACTGTCGCCATGGACTTGAACTCGTAGTATGGTATAGAACTCATCGGCAGAGATGATATGATATGACTCATCTATCCAACACGTAGTATGGACTCGAGAACTCGTAGTATGGTATAGATTTCATCGGCAGAGATGAATATGATACAACTCATGTCATCTATCCAACACATAGTATGGACTCGAACTAGTACAAGAACAAAATATGTACAAAACAGTACAAGAAAAATTATACATATATAAGAAAAAATTACAGAGACTCCCTCAAATTGTGACATAACCATAATTTTTTTTGAATGAATGAGTCCTCCAATTACTTATGTAGTGCAGTTCATGAAAAAAGAAACTTCTCAATTGATTTTACATTCAACACCTACTATCCACCCATGCAAGCTTCAGGAAGGGGGAAGAAAGAGTACACATAACAAACCAACATGATGCCATTCTACAACTTGAGAGCAGAAATTGCTTCTGCTTTGAAATCAACCCTAAGACCCAACACCCTTCTAACCTCTGCAGGGGTCAGCCTCCAGGTCATGGGACCCGAGTTCTCTCCCCAGAAGTCGAGGATCTCGGACACCTTCTCCAAGTTGAGGATGGTCGCCATCTGGGTAAGGCGGGCGAACTTGTCTCTGATGGTCCTCTGAGTCATGGCGGAGAAGTGAGTCACTAAAGCCCTTACATCTCTGTCGAGCTGAAGGCCCCCGAGCTGGCTGAACCTCTTCTGCATCATGATCACTTCCAGCCTCTTGACGATGAAGTCGATGACCAAATGCACAAACAGATCGTAGTTGTTTGCGGTCATTAGAGGCTGAAGCCACGACACGTTCGTCTCGACCGAGTGGAGGAGCCTCTGAACCCACGGGTCGTTCACTTCGTTGTCTGCGTATTCTGCTTCTGACAGCTCGTAGCTGATGGTTGCTACGCCATCTAGTAGTGGGCGGATTCGGGGAGTCACGGTCGAGACAAGCTGCTCCATCCCAGCACCGAGGGACTGCTTGAAGGTAATGCTGACATCGCCCATTTCAGACAAGCACGATTTCACCTTTTCTCTATCAGCTGGGGCCGGAAATGCCTGGAAAGAAGAGTTGAAACCATGATTAATATGATCCAGTACCCATCTAGTTCATAATACATAACAGAAGAGAACTTTTATTGACAGTAATAAGTACATAATAACCCATGCAAAAAATTCTAATACATCTCTACAACCCAGTGTTCCCAATGTCATTTCAACTAGTTGTATCAGTAACATTGCAGTGAATCTAATGTTATAAGTGGGGCACTAACAGGAAAAGTAATGACATTATTGTGGAAGGAAGTTCCCATCTGGAACCTTCTGAAAGGTTGATTCAATCTGGATATCTAAAAGAGGATTCTTTCTTTGATATTATGGCTAAAGTTATCATCTTATTCCTAATTTCATAATTGTCTACAACCGAAAGGCCAAACCGTTACTTGAATGGAACATATTCCCCAAGTTTGGTGGACTGATAGCAAGTGTCGTACCTAAGACGAATTAAGGGTATATAAGTGGCTGCCAGAACCAATTGGCAAGTTCATCCTAGCAAGTTCTACTCTTCATTTGTCACAACTCACAAGCATTAAACTGCATACTCAAAAAGCCAAAACGAAGTCTTTGGCCATGTCTGTAACAAGCGTTTGCAAGCTCCAGTTAACCATGATTGATTTTGTTTCAAACCGTATCCAAGCAGTTGGAGCAGAAATAGATTCATGAATGCTAATTTGGCATCAAAATTGATAAGTTAGGACCAAGTACCACACTTATGAAGTATGAACCAGGGTTCTCAAATATTCAATTCCTAAGGTCCTTGATTTACAAATACTTGCACCTTGAAGATAGAACAATAGATTCAGATTAATTTGAGAATGTGCATTATTCAACTAACCTCGGCACATTGCTCCTCGATTTCATGCTTCAGCTTCAGGACATACTCACTGCTGACATCCACATTATTTAAAGCGGTTGCGATATCTGTCCCAGTCTTTTGCACACCAACCCCGCCCAAAAACAATTTTGCCCCAAGGTTTGGCTCCCTCATTTTCTGCTGCAAAGCTTCTTGGTATTCGTTGCTCAACAAACTACCTGCGCCACTAAGGACAGCAATCACTGAGCTAATGTTTGAAGTGGAAATTGCTCTTCTCAAGCAACTCTGCAGAACATAGAACACATCATCCACCATCGAAGTGGTAAGGCTATCAGGTACTTGCTCATCAATCCGAATGGCTTTCCTAACATTTTCAACCATAAAGAACCCTTCCAAAATCACATAAAAGCCAGTAATGTCTTGGACAACTTTGCTGAAGCTCCCACTCCTGAAAGACTTTGTGGCTCTTGGTACCAACTCCGGATCAACTGAACTCAATGCTTTAATCTTAGAAACCATAAATTCCGTGTAATCTTCACCTATTTGCATCAACGACAGAATCTCCTGCAAGTACAATTCAACCTCTCTAGGATCAGGGCCTTCTGGCCCTCCAACAGCAAGCAAGTTCTTGTTTTGGGCATTGATCTCTGATGCTAACTTGGCCAATTTCCTGTATTCCATATATTTCTTCAAAATGAGGGAACCCCTAGAATCACACTCTTCTTGCAATTCACAAATCGCGTAAACAATCCCATCTTCTCCACAGAGACTCCTCAATATTTCATCGTTCTCTTCTATGGCTAAAACAATGTCTTTAAACAAGTTCGTCAAACAACCAACAAAATCAACCTGATTCTGAGCATGCCCCTGCTCCATCAACTCCACCAAGTGCTCAAATTCAAGCCGTGATCTCATAGAAATTACCTTCTTCAAATACCCTACGTAAACCTGCAACCCTTCCTCCTCCAATCCCAGAGGCGAATACAGCCGAATGAACCTCAGAATCGTGGGATGATCCCGCTGATCCACTGCAGCAGCGAGCCGCTTCCTCACAATCCCTTCAAGCTGCTTCTTGGAAGCCAGCAACTGATCTCTCTGCTCGGATCCGGAGTCTTTGTACTTGGCATCAATCTGAAGGAACGTCTGCACATACTTGGCGGCCGACTCGTAATCCTCCGACTCCAGAGCGTTCTTCACTCCGTCGATGCAATTCCCTCTCTCGACAATGGCGTCGATCCGCAGCACGGTAGTGTTCACTCGCGACTGAGCCAGGTCCAGCTCCCGAACCTTGGCGCTGACGTGGTCAGCGAGGTCGCAGGTGGAGCCAACATTGCTGAGCATGTAGTCAGAATCGGCCTTGACAATCTCGAGAACCTCGGCCGATTTCTGGAGGTGGACGAGCTGCTTGTCGAGATCGCTCCGCTGGGCGAGGAGATTGTCGAGCTCGTCGTCCAGCGCTCGCTGGTAGGCGATGCACTCGTGGAGGAGCCGCGTCATTGCGGCGACGTCTGTTAGGTTGCGGACGTGGTCCAGAGCTTCCGGCGAGCCGAAGCTTATGGAGGAGGAGAGGGTTGGGGAGGATGCGGTGGTTTCGTCATCGTCGTGAGGTTTTTGGGCCGATCCGTTCATAGTCGAAGGAATTCTCGTCATCATACTGTTCGACGAAATGCCTGGTAGACTTGGAAACCGGAGTGCGAACCAGATCTAGTGATTCTAGACACGGGAAGTGTTGAATCATGGGAAATTGGGAACTGGAGAAAGACCACCGAAGAAAATAAGAACGGAAGTCAGGGTGGGAATTCGATCGGTTCAGTCCAAATCAATCGAAACCGAGCAAACCCGAACCGGAAGAGATCAAATTCCGGACCGATTTTGGTCGAATTATTATTGGGTTTGATAATTCAGAACCAAATTATAGCTTTTTAGCAGTGGACTCAGGAATTGTTGAAAAGAAGTGTCGTCTAATAAACAAGTATTGGCCATAATTATTAAAGCGGTGTCGAAAATCTTGTATTAAATTTTTTTTACAAAAAAATATAAATTTTTTACAAATTTTCCGGACGAAAGGGTGTCAAACGATACCCCTTAGCAACACGTAGGTCCACTCCTGCTTGTTAGCAATAGTATTACTCGAACAAAATGACAATTTATTTTCCTAAGTTTTTTTATTTGACTTTTATGTTCTTCGTTTGGATTTTAATTTTAGGTAATGTCTATTTTTAATCCAAACATTTTTCAGATTCTTTTATATTATCCAAATCTATTAGAGTGCTAATAATTAGCCAAATCTTTCGTAATGCATCAAAATATTAGCTATTTTTACGTTATCGTTAATAATTTTGTAACTCTTTTCTTAGTTAAAATACTAATTTTTTTGAAATGTTGACCTTCATGTGTCTCTTCCAAGTCAGTATCATGTTGTCAAGTCAATATTACTAACAAAATTACTATCTGAAAGTTAACATTTGGTTAATTCTTAGTATTTCAATAGATTTTACTAATAAAAAATTCCAATTTTTTTGGCTAACAAATAGTCATTACACCTTTTTATTGTATAGATGAAATGAGTTCGTTGTGCTCTACAAAATGAGATCCATTTTCAATATTTTCTTTGAAGTTTTTTTCATACATCTCGTTACAATTCCATACCATATTGTATCTCCCTCGTTTTAAAGTCATTTTTAAAATATTTGCACAGAAGGAACGAGTTTATCACTGAATCTACAAATTTCTGGGGGAAAATAATGGACCTGAAAACACCACACCCCACCATCCTGGTATATGAGGTGGTATCTTGTGGTACACAATGTTTAAAGTCGTAAATATCAATTAGTATATTCTTACTATCATGTATGCAACCATCTTACAGTGTCGTATGTTCATACCATATGATATGCTCTTATTTAATACCAATCAATATCATATAGTAAAGCTTGGTAATAAATTCTTTAATTTGTTTTGTTTGAAAAATATATCAAAATATATATCATTTTGAAGAGCACAATTAATTTTATTTATCTATGTTAAAAAATTTAAATTTCGACTAAAATCGAGGGAGAAACCATCCGTTAAAAATTATAGAAGAAAATATTAGAGACCTTCTATAAATGGCGGGATTGTTGATGTGGAGACGAGTGATTGGGTTATGTATGGTTACTCAAGGTTACTCACCCTATCCACTATGGAATTCGGAACTGGGGGTAAATGCCACATTTGGTCTCTGAGATTACTAAATTGTGTCATGTTTAGTGGAGTTGGACGAAATTGATAAAAAAAAATTAATATCAATTAATGGAGTTGGACGGAAACTAACGAGAGAGTGATTAAATGTGACATGTTTCAATAATTCGAGTGATCAAAATTAATATTAAAATTTTCTAGTGACTAAAAATGACACGATTTAGTAGGGATGGCAATTATGCCCATACCCATGGGTATTTTACAATCCAACCCAATTGGGTTGGGTATGAAATCCAAATATATGGATATGGGTAAAGTTTGATGGGTTTGTACCCATGCCCATTTACTTTGGGTTGGGTTGGGTTTATAACAAATGGATTTGGGTTTGTACCCATGCCCAAATACAAATTACAGTTTGGTACCTAAACTTAATAGATATGCATATTTAGTACCTAAATTTAATTTTTTTTGCATATAAGTCCTCAAAATCTCGATGGAAAATTACGTTTTGGTACCTAAATTTTTTTGGTCTTACGATTTTGGTACCTAAACTTTTCAAGTTTTACAAATAGGTCCAATTTTTTGCATGTGTAGTTAAAACACTCTCAAGTAAATGGATACCCATATCCAACCCATACCCATTTAGATAATATCCATATCTAACCCAAACCCATATACAAACCCCAAACCCATACACACATCACCCAAACCCTACCCATAACAAATGGGTCTACTTGGGTTTGGGCAAAATTACCCATGGGTGGGTAAATTGCCATCCCTACGATTTAGTAATCTAGTAACCGTAACAAAATGTGGCATGAGTAACATTTACCTTCGGAAATGGCAATATCGTCCTGTTTAATTGGAAACCATATCCACTTTGAGCACCCGAGCTGTCACTTCTTCTCAATGGCAACCATCCGCTTCGGCGCTTCCCTTACCCCGCCTCCTCTCACCGGTAATACAGTAGCGGCGCCGGCGAGAAGCCCACCCGTACACTTCCCGACCTCATCTTCACGTATCTTTCTCCAATTTCACTGCTCCAATCCGTCGCCTCGGTGCCATTCTCCCACTCTTGACGCTCTGATTTCGCCTTTCTCGGTGCGGCCTCAGACAACGGGCAGGTCACGGGCGGTTTTCAATGAGGGATCTGTACTGACGGAGGAGAGCAGCAGCGGCGGCTTCTCTGGAAATGGATCTAGAAAAGAAGTCCGGCCGTGCGAGCTGTACGTCTGTAACCTCCCGAGGAGCTGCGATATTCCGCAACTCGCCGAAATTTTCAAACCCTACGGAACAGTTGTGTCCGTCGAGGTACACTCCTAAACTCCATCGCATTTGGGTGAGGAATTCTCTTTTCATTTATCTGTTAGTGATTGTCGAGTTTTGGTTGAGAAAATCACTAAGAGAATTACTGGTTGGAGGCCTAAGCTGCTTAGCTATGCAGGTAAGCTTCAGTTAATCAATTCAGTGCTAAGTAGTCTATCCTTCTATTGGATGAATGTCTTTATCCTACCCCTGTCTGTCATAAAAGAGATTGAGCAGAGATGCAGTAACTTCCTTTGGGGGATCACTGATGAATCCTTAAGAAAGAAGGCTGTAATGGCTTGGGGGTCAATGGCAATACCTAAGCAAGAAGGGGGGCTAGGTATTAGGTGTCTCAAGACTTGGAATGTGGCATGTACTACTAGGCATATATGGGCTCTGCTAACCAAAGAAGGGTCCTGGTGGGTTGCCTGGAATTATTACTATAGAATAAAGAATCTAACCTTCTGGGGATTGGGCAAATGTAGTACTGCTTCTTGGGTCTGGAAGAGACTGTTAAAAGTCAGGGATAGGGTGGAAGGGTTTTTTAGATGCTGGGGAACACAGGTGTATTGGAAGGATAAAAGGATGCTGTCTTACTCTGTGAAGCAGGTCTGGCAGGATTTGCAACCAGCTAGACCTAAAGTGGATTGGTATCAACTGATTTGGGGGAAATATTCAATCCCAAAACACAGTTTCTTGAGCTGGGTAATAACACGAAACAGGATTACTACTCTTGGTCAGTTGCATAGCTGGGGGAAGGTGGCAAGAGCAGACTGCTTGTTTTGTTTGGCTCATGTAGAAGAAAGGGACCACTTATTTTTCAACTGTCCTTATACATTCCAGGTGTTAAAGGGCTGTTTACTAATGCTGCACTTAACTTGTCCTCAGTTAAGTAGTTATGAAGATTATTTGCAGTGGGCAGTTCGAGCATTCAAGGGTAAGAAAGCTGCAGCCATGATAGGGCGACTGGTATGGAACTTAGTAGTAAGTCTGATTTGGAGGGAACGTTGTGGAAGATTGTATGGTGGGAATGAGGTACAGTCTGGGGAGCTAATCAGGACAGTTCGAAGGACAATTGAATTAGCCAGACTTGGCAATGTAGCCCTGGATGTAGATTGCAATATGATTTTTAGCTAGCAGAACAGTTAGTAGTATAGTTTGGTTTATTGTATGGCTGTGTAGTATTGAGTAGTAATTAGCAGCAGTATAGCTGCTGGTTGTAATGGTCCAGATGTGCTTCCCTTGTTGTAAAAGGAGCACATAGAGCTTAATAAAATTTTTTGATATTGCCCATAAAAAAAAAGAATTCTCTTTTCATTCAATTTGGTGATTCATCTGCAATCAACTGATTTAGGAAATCTTAGCTGGACAGTAGAGAATTGAGACAGCCATGGCCAGTTTCGACTTGGTATAAATATGGATTGAAAATTTGATGACATTGCTGCAGGTTTCCAAGAACCCAGAAACTGGGGTGAGTCGAGGTTGCGGTTATGTGACAATGGGTTCACAAAGTTCAGCCAGAAAAGCAATGCATTCGTTGGATGGCTATGTAAGTGTATATAACCTTATGCTGTTTGTAGGCTTTTAAGCTCAATCCCTTGCGTTGAGGCTCTGGCATGATGAACATATGTTTCTCGCGATTGATCGTAGGATGTTGAAGGGAGGGAAATGCGAGTTAGGTTTTCAGTTGACATGACTTCGGGTAGGAGAATTGAGAGAAATGAGGAGGTCATGACAACTGCATCGCCCTCGAGAACCCTAATCTATGAGAGCCCGTACAAGTTGTACGTCGGCAATCTGGCCTGGACAATAAGACCGGATGCGTTGAGGAAGAAGTTCAGCGAGTTTGGGAATGTGGTCAGTGCTAGAGTGTTGTATGACCGTAAGGGAGGAAAGAATCGTGCTTATGGGTTTATATCCTTCTCCACTTCAGAAGAACGTGAGGCTTCACTATGTTTGGACAGTACAGTTAAGTCCTGTTAACTGAAGTTTTAGGTTGCTCAAACAGTCACACCTAGTTCATTAGCCTTCTGCTTATGGGTCTTCTTCTCTCATTCCTTTGTGTTTATCTTTCAGGACTTTCATGGTCGGGTATTGGTGGTTAGAAAAGGTGTTGACAGGCAGGACCTTTGAGCGAGGATTTTTGTTGACAGCCAGGAGACCTGTGACAAATCAATAGCTGTTGTTTCATCAAGGAGCTATGACATGAAGCATATGCAGATCCCTCTGGTCAGTAATGGAAGCCTGTCACAATCAGTCGTTGGTGCCGTTTCACAGTATTCAATCCAGTTCTTCTGATGTCGAACTCGAACCCCTTCCAAAAGTTTTGTGCAAGTTAAAATCGTTAAGCTTGTCGAGAGATTGAGATACAGGTTCTGATTGGTAGCTTTAGACTGTTCAACAATTTTGGTTTTGATCTCTAGTTCAGTCTGCCGATTACCGTGCATGTAGCAATATCATATTAGTTATAGATAGGAAACTTGCTGGTTGACTCTTTCGTCTTCGATATTGTTCTTCTAGCCTCTAAATCGTGCGTGGTACAGTCGTCATTGTACTTCCATTTTGACCACATCCAGTTGAACATTGTTTTGAAGTCGTAGCAAACTGCAAATTACATTCCCTCTTTCCTGAAGAATTAACGGAGCTGCTTGTGGCAAAGATGGCGTTATCATTATGCGAGTCTAGACGGGAAAGTGGTCATTACTCATTACTGTAATTTTGGTCTGTATATGTTATGATTTTGCCTTCGGAAAATAGATAAGACCGTTTGAAAAATTGTGGACCAAATTGAACTGCATAATTTGGTTTAGAGTAAAAACAATGACATTGCAAACTTTATAAATTAATTTTCTTATGTAACTTCTATTTTATCTGTCGACATAAATGTTCCAAAATTCTGGATCAGCCACTAGTCATTCATTATACTAAAGTGATCGACCACTTTACGAAAGAAATAGACCATTTTCTCCAAGTAACGATAACTTGCAAGTCTCGCGCATAATTATCCGAACAAATTTACCTTCCAAATAACCTCACATAACATGAAGGACTTGAATAACTGAAGTCAGAAGTTTGACATGTTAACCGAAGAACCTACAAGTTCAGGGTTCAAATAAATTACTAATGTAGCCTTCATAATCATCCCCAACCTAGCAAATCTAATCGCCAATCCATCAGCCTACCGCCGTCCACGGTTGCGCCGGCAAGTGATGGACCTACCATTATTACGCTCACCCAAAACCGCCATAGCTGGATTCCGCCGATTCATTTTCCGGCCGAACTCACAGTCTTACTTTTTCTACTCTACTTCACCTCTCCCTCCGCCGCATCAGCAGAAGTCGCAATTTCCCGTCGATCCCACCTCCCAGAATTCCCCGATCTGGTCTCCATCCCGAGTCCAAAAGCTCATAGCTTCCCAATCGGATCCTCTCCTCGCCAAAGAGATCTTCGATTACGCCTCTCTCCAGCCCAATTTCCAGCACTCTTACCCTTCCTACCTCGTTCTCATCCGCAAGCTCGGTGAATCCAAGCACATCTCCCTCGTCGATGCTCTCGTCGGCGACCTGAAATCCAAGCGCTACCCAGTAACGCCGGCTCTCTTCTCTTCTCTAATCAAGATCTATGGAGAGTCCAATTTACCGGACAAGGTTCTGGGAACGTTCCACACGATGCTGGAGTTCAACTTCAACCCTCTGCCCAAACACTTGAACCTCATCCTCGAGCGCCTCGTCTCCCGCCGGAGCTTCGTGAAACCCGCTTTCGACCTCTTCAGGGACGCTCGCCAGCACGGCGTGGCTGCCAACACCAAGTCTTACAACATCTTGATGCGGGCGATGTGCCTGAGTGGGGAACTGAGCATTGCCTACAAGCTGTTCAACGAAATGCTCAAGAGAGACGTTGTTCCGAATGTCGAATCCTACCGCATTCTGATGCAAGCTTTGTGCAGGAAGAGTCAGGTTAACGGAGCTGTTGATCTGTTGGAGGACATGTTGAACAAAGGGTTCGTGCCCGATGCCCTGACCTACACCACCCTGCTGAACAGCCTGTGCAGGAAGAAGCAGCTTAGGGAGGCTTACAAGCTTCTCTGCAGGATGAAGGTGAAAGGCTGCAACCCTGACCTTGTTCATTACAACACTGTAATACTCGGGTTCTGCAGAGAAGGCCGCGCGACGGACGCCTGCAAGGTTCTGGAGGACATGGAGTCGAATGGGTGCTTGCCGAACCTGGTCTCTTACAGAACTCTGGTTGGTGGGTTGTGTGATCAAGGGATGTTTGATGAAGCAAAGGGCTACCTGCAGGAGATGCTGGCGAAAGGATTTTCGCTGCATTTTTCGGTTGCTGATGCTGTGGTGAAGGGTCTTTGTGGTCTTGGCAAGGTTGAGGAAGCTTGTGAAGTGGTGGAAGTATTGCTTAATCATGGAGTGGCTCTGCATATAGGTACTTGGGAGATTATGCTTCCTAGAATTTTTGCCATGAATGACTTGGCCAGAACCGAGGAGATTTTGGATAAGGTCAAGAAGGAGGAGATCAAGGGCGATACCAGAATAGTTGATGCAGTTACTGATTTAGAGGAGTACTTGGTTCGGATGATACGAGCTAGGTGAAACAGAGTACGAAGTGTTCATGCTAACTGTTGGTATAGGGTTCTGTTGCACAGTAAGTTATGACCAATTAGCGCTTTCATCATTAGCTTTCTTTCTCTCATCTAACACACATTCTTAACATTTTTGTTCCAATGCCCATTTTGTTATCTGACAATTTTTCCTTAAAAAACGATGAGATTTTGGATCTTTCATTTCTCTAGGCGCCTAGCTAGCCTTGGTGTTAGAAACGAAAATAGCTATTTGTAATAGAAATAACAGTTTTACAACTCTTTGGTACTTAGGTTCAAATTATTAATAAATTAGCTAACCCTTAATAACAAGCAAAATATCACAAAATTTTCTAGTCACAAGTTTATAGAAATTGGTGAATCAATATATGTCGAAAAATAGTACACGAAAAGTTGAATATTGTCGACGAGGAGGAGAATGGTGATTTAGAAAGTTGTGAATTAATAACCGTTTGTGGTGAGGGTAGTAAGCAATGACAAAGACCAACAAGGCAGAGTGCATGTTGAAGTGATGGATCAACTAGAACTTATGGTTACTAGGAGCTGGCAATCGGCAATTGTGAAGAGCAACATGGCAGATGATCGGTTGAAGAGAATGAGCGACAAAGAGAAGCGAGTTTGGTTGTTTCTAACCTAGAGTTGTGATTACAAATGATAGGAAGGACCGAAGGACGCATCGAGAGTAGTTTGAGATGGATTCGATTTTGGGAAGGTAGCTACTTTTTTCTTCTTCTTTCCTTGGTCCTCTAACTACGTTTAAGCACATCTCCAATTTCTTAATCGTACCTCACAAAGCTTAATCATGATTAGGCACCTCCTAGCTTCGTCTAGGCGTCATGAGCGTCTAATTTGTTGCCTAGGACATTGGTGGGACATTTTGTCATCGTCTAGCACCTAGAAGCGCCTATACATAAGAGAAATTATGCCTTCTTGAACCATGCTAGTACACATAGTCTTTGTGGATATAACCCGACTTGATATACTATCGTAGAATGATAGGTTCACTTGCCTATTTTTCGTGTGATAGTTTACAATGATCAACTGCCACATAGGAAAAAATATAACGAAAATGGTCAATCAATGACCATTTTGCAATAAAAAACATGAGAGTTTACTGGCTATTGCAATAAAAAACATTTAGTGGCAAACATAAAATAAATTGATAAACCCAGTGACCCGCTATGTCATTTAGCCCATAAAGAAACAAAAAAAAAAAACCCTATTAAAAACATATTAAAATTGATATCATTATATGCTAAAGAATAAATAATGTCCTACAAAAAAATGGACAATTTGTTTACAAAATCTGTTCCGAAAACAATGTTTAAACCCTAAAAATAAACACAAACACCCCCTCTTAGGACTCGTGACTGTGGAGGATATCGACATAGTAACCATTCTATCTGTGTAAGAATTTTAATGAGATACTATACTCTCTTTCATTTACTAGATTTTATGCCACAACATATTTCCTAATTAGATTGTAACGAAACATGTTATTAATCGATAGATATAAAAAAAACATTATGAATATATTATTCATACATGTGGGTGTCCAACTACTCACTACTACCCATGTTTTCTTGATAATATGACTCACTTCCATTTCTTCTATTCCTACAAATCTACAATCCAAGCTATTTTATAATGTGATTTTCATGTAACTAAAAGTTGTCGTCTCCACATTTTCCATTTTGTGTTCATTTCTCTCGGATAAACAACTCAAACAAATATCTGAAGGCGATGGTGGATCACTCTATCCAACCAATGAATCGAACACCATAAGACTCCCTATCCAAAACCCCAAACTCTTCCCCACCTCATCACTATCTAGATATCACTCCCACTCCCCAACCCAACCCAACGAGTGGTTTCTCTACCTCCAAACCTTTGGACACCATTTAATTAGTCAATCATAATAAAACACGATCAATCTTCCCCCCCTCAGGGCTCATTCTGCTTCACCTGTTATTCAAGTCTCTTTTTTTTTTTATTATCCAAAGGGGAACAAAAAGCAGAGGAGGAGGCGGCCATGGCTTCAACTTGCTCCACCACTTTGTCGATCTCATCTTCTTCCTCAAGCCTCGTGGATGCAGCCAAGGGTCCTCGCCAGCCTGCAGCGTCTTCTGCTACTCAATGCGTCACTCTCCCCACACTTCCCCCTCTCGCAGCTGCCCGCCCTTCTTCCAAGGCCGCAACTTACTGTCAGTAGTACATTTTCTCTATGTCTTGATTGTTGCAAACATTAGTCGTAATTTCATTTGTAGTAGTGATGGATGGTTTCTGGGTTGTGGGTTTGCTTTGCTGTCAATTGGGTATCTCTATTAGGTCGGAAGATTGCTCGCAATGTCGTGTCCATGGCGACGGCAGGGGATCCTGCTGCTCCTGCTGAGGTTGACACAACTGAGCTGCCTGAGCTTGTGAAGACTGTTCAAGAAGCTGTAAGCATTTTGTTCTAGTTGGATTACATTGAATCCCTTTTTTTTTTTTTTGCCTTCTGGGTCTAATCTTTGATACGTGTATGGAATTGGGACAGTGGGATAAAGTGGAAGACAAGTATGCAGTGTCTTCTCTAGCTGCGGCTGGTGTACTTGCAATCTGGAGTTCTTCTGGGATGATCTCGGTTAAGTGTCTAGTCCAGATTTTGATTTCTGTTTGCTACTTTCCCCAAATTCCATTCTGTTTTTTCTCAGTTTTCTGCTTTGCTTGCTTGCTGCCTTTATCTCCTATATTGCAGGCTATCGACAGGCTTCCTTTAGTTCCTGGTGTTCTTGAGATTGTGGGCATTGGTTACACTGGAGTAAGTCCTTCCTTTTTTCGTAGTATTTCTTTTTCGTTGGTTATCGACCCCAAGGTTCGAATCCAGAGCGTGTGGTGTATGTTCACGTTACCATAATACCACTAGACCAATCTCTTTGTCGTAGGATTTTCGCTTCTTAATATGCACAAAAAATTGTTATTTGATTGTACTTGTTCCTATTTTTGCAGTGGTTTGCATACAAGAACCTCTTCTTCAAACCTGACAGGTTCGGAGTAGAAAAGAAAAGCTGTGATTTTTTTTTTTTTGCTATTTCATGATGCTACCAGTTTCTGAGACTGAAAATTTTGATCCAACTTTGCAGGGAGGCTTTGATAAAGAAAGTGAAGGACACTTACAAGGACATAATTGGCAGCAGCTGAAAGAGAGGAGAAGAGCTGGTTGCGGTGCCATTGATAATAAAATCAGTGTAACTCTCTTTTCTTTGGAGAGAAATACACATGATTCTGTGAGCAGCCATGCGCCTGTCTCTGATCTGCTTTGTTTCCCCTTTCATCCTTTCTCTCTGCGGAAACTCCTAACCACTGTAATCTATATATATAGTTCAAACTTATGAGATGTTACTGGAATTGAATGCTTGTTGTGATAAAAGCAGAATTAGCCATCTCTCAGGTGCACTTAAATACAGCAGAATTATCCATCTTCAGGACTTTATGCTGCATCCTCTCCATACCACCTAGGTTTACTGTCTCGTTTGTTTCATGGAATTGATATGAATTTGGTACTTAAAAACCAAGCATCATGGACTTTGTACACAATCCGTCGTTTGCTTGATGGATTTAGGATGAATAAATCCGTGGGGCCCACGGACTTGAGAATTCCACCCCACGAAGTGGGATTTGTGTTGGAGTACAAAGTCCATGATGACTTTTTACATTTTTAACCCTACTTATTTCACTAATCATCTACTCATCCTCTTTCATTTACTAATTACCAACTTGAAGTGGATATTAAGTTTGCATTCAATATTTGTTATTATTCATTGCACGAAAGCACTACATGATTAATCGCAAAGCATACTTTGTAATATTGAAAACCTTAAGGAATTGTCTGATATAATTGTGTGTATAATATGATGTTGTTATTGATTAACGATGTTCATTTATTCCGGTTGTGGTAGTGGGACGAACCTATTGGATGAAACTTGTTTTAAACAAAAATTATAATGTAAATATAAATAATACTCAATAAGGACACTAAGGTAAATTCCTAATACAAGCACAAATATAATAATGCCAATCCATAATGAAATCCAACAAGCAAACGATGGTTTGTACCAAAATCTAAATGGGGCAATTACATCATATATCCATGGTTTTGTAAAACCCCATTTTTAACCAAAACCTTCATTTTTCAAATCTATGAAGCAAACGAATCCTAGGTTAACTTAATAAATATTTGTTTCTTAGATCATAAAAATACCGAACACCCTTATTTAAACTTTGTTTAAAAAGATTTGAACTGTATTTTAGTAATCATTATTTCAAGAAATTAATTTGCATCCAATTATGTTAAAAACATGTTTTCCGACCGGTAAACAAAATGCAAAGTGTAGTGTTTTTATTAGAACCATGCAAATGTGTACTTGTGTAGTACATAGTGATGACATTGTTAGCAACCAATTAAATTTAAGTTACTTCCTTCGCGTCCCTTTCTATCTAAAAAGCATAATGATTTAAGTAAGGTTGTCAAACCGTTTTATGCTAGTGTGCCGATTTAGCAAGTGCAATGGTTCGACCGGTGGTACATATCGGTTTGTGTCGGTTCATGCCGATCAATATTACAAATAATTTAAAATATTCATATTTAAACACAACATTTAACGTTAATACCTAAACATTTGTACTTGAATTTAACAAATAACATCAAAATTTAACTTTTAAACTCATAAAATGAATAATAAATTAATTTTTATCAATTAAATTCACTAAGATAAAATCATTTTACTTAAAGATTCGTATATCGATCATATCGGTCATACCGATAGTGTTACGCTGGTTTTATGACCGATATCAATTGAACCAGATTCAACCAGTGACAATCCCACAGGCGTGACAACCATGAATTTAAGTAATGGAGTGGACACGAACTGGAAGAACTTTGGTGGTAGAACGTGATTCACGCAATGGCACTGCGGCCACTGCCGACGTCAAGGTTGTTCTCTTAGCTACATGACCGACGTCAAATTGTGGGAGAAGCAACGGTTGTCGGATTGTGGTATCAACCTTTGCAATAATTATTTTAACCGTTATAGATTTGCAATTTCTTTGCTATTCAATATCATGGCAAATTACTACCAAAAAAAAAATATCATGGCAAATTGCAATACCATTTGGTTGCTTAGATTAAGGACTTGCATTAATCACAATGAACAAGTTTATAACTTAAAGCTATTTCAAGGATTTACGCAAATGTTAGGGTGCTAATTAACAATCAATTTGTTAGTATGATGATTCAACCACTATAAATATTTCATTTTGATGACTATTTTTATTTTAAAGGGTTTACCACAATTATGTTGATTTATAACAAAGGGCATGCTTGCCACTATAAAACATTATGATTTAAATTTTTGTATACACATGTAACAAACTCATTGTGATCTACATAATGATATCAATTTTTTTTATATATATTTTGAGAAATTATTTTTAGTATCACCCATTACCACTCGTTAGCATCATGGTATCACTTTGTATCACATTCGGTTTTAACCAACTTTTAACAAATTTCGTACATAATATTGAAAAGTTCATTGTGATTTATTGTGATCCACAAATTTATGGGAAAAGAAAATTCCATGACCAAATATACCACCCTATACTATTATGGTGTAAGGTGGTAACTAGAGGTAGATGGACTATAAAGGCGACAAATGATGGTAATATATCCCTAGGCTTAATTGCAAGTTTGATCACTCGAATTGCTACAAAATTTCACGTTTGTCACTCAAATTAATTTATTCTATTTATAGTCACTTAAATTAGGTTAATAGTCCAAGTTTAGTCACTGGCCGTTAGTCTCCGTTAACTTTTGCTGATGTGGCGGTCAACTCTTATAGTTGACCGTTAAATGAATGACGTGGCGATTAAAAAATAATAAAATAAAATAATTTAATTATTTTTTATTTTCCACCTAATTATTATAAAAATAAAAATAAAACCTAATTCCTTTTAATTGTTATTTTCCACCGCTGATGAGCTGCGTCGTCTTCGGCTCCTTCGTCGTCTAGTACCTCGCGACGTTCTCGATCTCCTGCTTCAAGGCGCTGACCCTGGTCATCAATAAAGGCTTTCCCTGTGGAACGAAGCATATATAGTTAGTAACCGAGGGTTTAATCAATGGATCATGACAAAAAAGGCTTCAATGAGTGATGGACGTGACTGACCAGTGGTGGGTGGTCGAAGGCGGTGAGTGAGTGATTCACGTGGAATATTCTCCACCCAAAGAAGAAGAACGGCAGATACGACCTTTTGCAAGTAAACATCGTCACTCACCAACTCATTGGACCAAGTTCAGTTGGATCACCCAACCTAAAAAACGACAATGCGAAGAAAAACAGAGTGTCACCTAAAAGGAAGAAAAACAGAGCATCTCTAAATCTATCACTATACTGAAAAACCAACCGCCAAATGCCAATACCACCAATGCCCATTCTCGATATCATTATGGAGCGAGCGGGCAACTTGTTTTTTGGGCTGAAAAGGGCGTGACGGGAAGTGGCAAAAGGAATGAAATTTACTAAGGAGGTGGGCTGGCGTTGGAGGCCGAGGAATTAGGAGGGGGGAAACTCTTCTCCCAGGGGGCGAACTCGAAATAACTAGTGTATTCTTCCTCGGGGCCGTACACCATTGCCACTTGGAACATGTCCGGGTTGCCGGCACTCTCGTCGACAAGGTAGATCCGCTTTTGGTGGGCGACGTTGTTGAAGCCCACGGTGTTTGGCGGCTGGCCGGAGGGGAACAAGGGCTGGAAGAGGGTGCATTTGACTGCATCGGAGAGGTCCTCGTTGGGGGAGTCGGCGATGGCAGCCACCCAATACCACGTCATATCCTTAAGCTGCAAGTATTTGTTGTTGTAGGAGCAGCGGAGGTGGACGTAGGATGAAGGGTTGGTGGCGGAAGGGACAACCTCCAGCTTTACGAACAGGCTCACCGGATCCACCTGGCGCTTAGCCCCCATGCAGCTTTGCGTGACGCCGAACTCGTCGTTCCACAGGTAGTGCAGGTAAGTCCCGTGACTCCCTGATCGGAGCACCATATACTGCGGCAGTCCGGCAACTATCGCCATCACTTCCTTGTTCCTAATTATGTATAATTAAAAGCAGGGTCAGCGCCTTGAAGCAGGAGATCGAGAACGCCGCGAGGTACCAGACGACGAAGGAGCCGAAGACGACGCAGCTCATCAGCGGTGGAAAATAACAATAAAAAGGAATTAGTTTTTATTTTTATTTTTATAATAATTAGGTGGAAAATAAAAAATAATTAAATTAAATTATTTTATTATTTTTTAATCGCCACGTCACTCATTTAACGGTCAACTATAAGAGTTGACCGCCACATCAGCAAAAGTTAACGGAGACTAACGGCCAGTGACCAAACTTGGACTGTTAACCTAATTTAAGTGACTATAAATGGAATAAATTAATTTGAGTGGCAAACGTGAAATTTTGTAGCAATTCGAGTGACCAAACTTGCAATTAAGCCTATATCCCTACTATAACATTACAACCATTTTACATTATGCTATACTATTATTATCTTGTTACACTTTCATACCATCATGATAATATCTTATAAACTATTAAGCATTATAACTATGGTATAAACTGTTAATATATGTTCAAATTTCTGTTCTAAATTATATCTGATTGGATATAATTTTGAAAAGCAGGTTAATTAATTTTAACTCTCACTTATAAAAAAAGCCCATTAAATTAATTAAAATATATTATTGATTATTATCCACCCGTCACCGAAAATTGTGTATAAATTACGTTATTGAGATATCGGCTCACTATACAATTACAAACAAAATTATATTGATAATGATGGATGTTAAAATATGAAGATCAACCATTACCGGAGTGTAAAAGATTGAAAAAGATTGCGGGACTAAGAGACCTAATTCCGTGTGACAACAAAACAAAGGCTGATACGTGTTGCACTTCACTCGGCTGAGACGGGATGCAGATAAATAAAGTACGTGAAGGCAAATGATTACGATTTTATAATTAATATCCTTTTTGTCGTCTCACTGGCAAGAGCCAGAAAAGCCGCCACGTAGTTGCTTTCCTCTCGTCAGTCATTCCATTTTCAAGTTTGACCAACCTTTACTAGCTAGCTAGCGTGTCCAGTTTATGGATGGAACCTTTGGTTTAGAAGGGCCGGCCGACCATTTTGTTGATTTAAATTTCAAAAAGTTTTCAGTTTTTTGTTCATAATTATGTGAGATTTATAAATGGGGTTTTCTTCACAACTCGGACAACGGAATAATTTGGTTCAACAAGGAATTAGACTAGTAGTAATATGAAAAATACATGTCACACTCTAATTTAAATTCGAATATTGGAACAATAATCAGTAAAAAATAATTTAGTTCAGAGCATCGATTGGATTGGTAATATTTAAACTGATATCTTGAAAACAATATATGTATATACTTCTAATGTAATTGACGAAAGTAGTGTATTGTAGTTTATATTGTTTATTTTTTGAGTTAGTTAGTAATAAATTATATTAGATAAATATCATTTTTATCCTTTATTTTTATCCAGCTGGAGAAGAACTGAAGAAGTCATTTCGGAAAGATCAGCTACAATTTTTCATAATCCTTGGTATGTCGACGTGTTTAAAAGCATCTAACCGCCACGATTAATCACACCTCACGGCTCACGCCAATTAATTGTGCTTACCTTCACAAGGCGTTATGAACGCCTAATGGTAATATGGTGTGCCTAGGACCTAGGCGAGGCATTTTGTTAGTGCCTAGCGCCTAGGTGCACCTAGTCGTGCGCGGAATTATGCTTTCTAGAATCTTGCTTACAAGTGTGGTAAAAAATCTACGAATTAAAGGTTAATAACTTACGTTTTTACGCTTCTATGTGATATATTTCGACGAAGATTTCAAGACAACAATGTAGATATATTTAAGAAGTATGAGTAATATCTATGTAACAAAATTTGTATTATGAATCATAACAAATTAGATAAGGTCGTAAAACTTAGTGGAAACCAAATTTATGCATGATCACTAACTAACCGGATTACTAATCAAAACAGAGTGGAGTTAGCAACTCCATAACCCTAAAAAAAAATGTTATGAAACCAACTCCATATTTATCTCTTTATTTTACTTTCAACCCAAACACTTTCACCTCACTAGTTTCAGACTTCAGTTACCTCCAATTACACTCTCAGTGATTATCTTCCTCCCTTTAATCCACAATTGTAATTTGTAAGTTCCAGAACAACAGAGTGTAGTTAGCAAGCTATAAGAACAGAGCCTGGTCTCCATTCAGTCACTTGCTGACTGGTTGCTGAACCATTCAAAACAAACATCATCAAGAAAAAGAAAAAAAAACGCACACACTTCAGCAATTATGATGGGCAGGGAGGAATTCAGCTGGTGTCCGAATTCACCAGACCAATACCCTTCATCGAGCTCAACAACAACATCCACCACCAGGAAGAAGAAGATGAAGAACAAGAACAAGGACAAGAACAAGAACAGAAAGAGGTTCAGCGACGAGCAGATCAAGTCACTGGAGTCCATCTTCCAGTCGGAATCCCGACTGGAGCCCCGAAGGAAGGTCCAGGTCGCTAAGGAACTTGGGCTGCAGCCTCGCCAGGTGGCCATATGGTTCCAGAACAAGCGGGCTCGACGCAAGTCCAAGCAGCTCGAGCGAGACTACAACATCCTCGGGGCTAGCTACACCGCCCTGGCTTCCCGTTTTGAGTCCCTCAAGAAAGAGAAACAAGCCCTGGCTTTAAAGGTAGAAAAAATCACAAGAGATTGACAATTAAGATCCCGTTTTTTTTTTCCCACATAAGACTAAGAGAGTTGTCTCGAGGTTTAATTTGTTTGTTCGCTTTGGGATACAGTTGCAGACGCTGAAGGCAGAGGAATGTGAAGGAGTACCAGCTGCTGCTGCTGCTGCTACTAATAGCAGTGAAACAATCAAGACCAAACCCAAATCGAGGCCGAGGATTTTGATTCAGGGTTCAGGAGAAGGACTAGGATTCATGTCGGATGAGTATCTGGGGATGGAAGAGGCAGATGAGGAAGCTGCAAAACTTATGAGTGACATGGTGGAAGATGGTGGCTGTGATGGATCACAGGAAGACTGGGGGTGTTTGGATTCAGATGGAGTGTTGTTTGATCAACCAAGCAGCGATTGTCAATGGTGGGACTTTTGGGCTTGATCGATCGATTGAACTTCAGGGTTCTTAATTTTGATTTTGTGCGCTCTTAATTAGCTTGGAGTTGTTGGAATCAGATTATTATGTGTATATAAAGGTCTGCAGATCAGGAGAAGCAAATAAACAAGGGGACAGATGTTGAAGTATGAAGAAGGGACTTGATCCATAGAATTGAAAAGGGCTCTCTCGGGTCTAATACAGAACTAGAGATTCAGAAAGCAGACAGATTTTTAGCAGGCATAGTTGTACAGATGCATATTGTTAGCATCAACTTGACAATGGCTGAATCTCATACAACTTGGAGACCAAGTCAAGATTCAAATTTCAAAGATGCACAGCTGGAAATCTTGTGGCTGCCCAAACCCGGTTAAGGCAAGTTTTCGAGGCAAAGGAAGAAAGAATTAGAACTTACCATACTTGAAGATTTCAAGGGAGAATTGATGAGCAACGGCTAGTTTATGGAGGCTATAAATAGAGGCAAGACTGAATCAGTAGGCAACCTTTCAAGAGATCAACAAGGCTAGCTAAGACAAAAGGGGATTTTGTGAGAGTAGCAAAGTTGATAGGAAAGGGGGTTTTTCTCAAAGGGTTCGGGGAGAATTGCTTTGAGGGTCAGTGTTGGGGAAACACTGGTTTCGAGTTGCTGGGGAAGCAATTCGGGTTTGAGAAGAGAGAGTTTGATCAATCGGGTTGAGATTGATCAAAGGGTTATCGGGTAGATAGCTTGTAACGACGAACTTCAACGCAAAATCATAGTGAATCGTCGGAGATCACACAATCGTGATTCTCCGACCGTGGAGTAGTCAGTATTGGGATCCGCATTCTCCCAATACTGGAAACCACGTAAAAATCGTGGGCTGTGTTCTTGTTCTGTTTTCCAGGTTCATTTCTCTGTGTGCTTCTGTGTGTTTGTGCCTCTGTGCGTGTGATCTGTGTGTGCAGGGAAATTAACTCAGGAGGAGCTAAGGAGGGCGAACAGCTAGAGTTGGGTTGGAAAACCTGTCGAAGTGGGGTTTGATTTGATCAGCATCACTTTATTCTGGGTTTTCCTTTTCAGCAGAGTTCTTGCTGCCTTTCCCTGTTCTTCACTCGAACTGAGGCAGGGATTGCTTTTGATCGAAGTCCCAAGCGGGAAGGCCATTTTAATTTGAAATTAAAACTCAGTCGTTTTCTCTCAATATTTAGAAGTTGGGCCGGGACGAGAAATTGACTGGGCTGGGATTCCGGGTTGGTTTATTACATCTGCGCAATAGGGACTAGAAGCCTAGTCGAGTAAATTCAGGTTTTGTTGGGTGGGCTCTCGATCACTAGGGATTAGTTAGGATTAAACGTGAATCTCCCTTGCTTAGGTGTGTCATTATACTAAGGTGAAAGGGTCATATATAGTTAGGTCTATAGTTAATCAATATCATCAGTTTTGAGTTTTCCACGTGCTAATCATTATAATCGAGTTTGATTTGTGACCAAGACAGGTATAAAGTCTCGCGCTCGACGCAACCAACACGTGGTATCAGAGCACGGTCACCGTAGAACAAGGTTCAACGACCTCCGGTGCGAATCGAAATGGCGTCGGGTTCCAAGAATAATGCTCCACTCTATCTGGCTGACGGATTTTCTCAAAATCGGCCTCCCAGGTTTGAAGGAGTTAATTATGGATATTGGAAAAATCGTATGGAATTATTTGTTGGATCTACAGATCCAAAACTCTGGGCAAGAGTCATCAAGGGTCCGTATGAGCTCAAGGAGGATCAAGAAAAATGGACAGACGAGGACTTTGAGAAATTTCAGCAAAACTGCAAGGCAACTAATCTCATGTATTGTGCACTCGGTCCAGAAGAATATCACAAAGTTGCCGGTTGCAAGACTGCTAAGGAAATCTGGGATAAACTCCAGGTTACTTATGAAGGTACCTCTCAAGTCAAAACATCTCGAATTAATTCCTTAAAACAGCAATTCGAGTTATTCAAAATGGAAGAAGGAGAAACGATCCGGCAAATGTACGAGCGGTTCACAAACATTGTGAACAGTCTGGAGAATCTTGGAAAATCATATGAAAGTGGAGATCTTGTTCGAAAAATCTTATGGAGTCTCCCAGAGCAGTGGACTCCAAAGGTAACTGCAATAGAGGAAGCTAAAGACCTAGAGAAGTTAGCTATTGATGAACTCATCGGATCATTAGCAACTCATGAAGACAAGCTCAACAAGGGAAACAACGATAAAGGGAAAAAGGGGATAGCCTTCAAGGCTACCACATACAATGAAGACACGGAAGATCTCGATGATATGGAGGATGAAGAATTGGCTCTACTAAGCAAACAAATTAGTAGACTACTTCGAGTGAGAAGAGAAAAACGAAGAGGAAACTTCATCAACAAGAATAGAGAAGTTGAGAAAGAAGGTGGCACATCAAAATATCCTCAATCAAGAAATTTCCACAAAAGCAGGATTGAACAACTTCAGCCGGTTAAAGCTCAAAACATTACCGGATGCTTTAGATGTGGAAAAACTGGGCATATCAAGGCTGAATGCCCTCTAGTAAGAAAAGAACGAGCCATGGCTGCAACTTGGAGTTGTAGCGAAGAAGAAGATGAGGATGGAGAGGAAACAAGAGAAGAAAGCTACATGGCAATTGATGTTGAAGAGCCATCAGAGAGACGTAACTCAAACGAGGTAAAACCTTCCAACCATACTCATTTCAGTGATAGTGATTACTATAGTGATGATGATCTATTAGTATCCACTATTAAGGAAATTCAGTTAGAGTTTGGAAATGTTAAAGTAAAATACTCTAAATTGAAATCTGATTATGCCAAAATAAACTTTGAAAATGATGAACTAAAGAAGGAGGCGATCAGACTAAAAGAAGAATTAGATGAAACTGCTAAGAAAGTTGAAGTTTTAGAAAATGAGAAATCGAGTCTCACGGCAAAACTTCAAATACAGTTAGAAGGGAATAAAATTGAATCTCTGAAAAAGGAAGGAAAATCTTGCCTAAATCATTCCTCTATGGGATGTTGTGAAAAATTAGGATCAAATTCGTGTAGCAAAGGTAAGTCGAAGATATTTGAAGAAGCAATAAAGCATGAGAGGAATGGAACTTTAAAACAAAGAAATAGAAACATAGAATGTTTTTATTGTCATAAATTTGGGCATATTAGGAGAGTATGTAGAAAGAGAATACAAAATGAAAAATATAGAACTTGCTTTACATGTCACAACACATATTGGATTTGTCTTCCCGGTTCTGTTTTTCTCTGGCTTATAACTTCCTTTGTTTCTGTTTTCTCTATCAATGTCATGTATAGCTTTTCTTTGTTTTGTCACCTTAGGTTTACTTCAGATAAGTCTATCCCCCTAGTCATATATTTAATCCGCTGATGGGTAGTGGAATTATAAGGTGAAGGGTAGTCGACTTTGTGGAACTAGATGGACTGGTGGACAATAGATCAACATAACCCATGGTGACATTTGTGGACACGATCCCCTCAACATCGACTTCACTGTCTGAGAACTCGACCAAAGAGGTCCGAGAGATCATCATAGTGTCGTTGGGGAATCTCAAATCCAAAGATATCTGGTAGAATAGAATTTTTGCTGAGCTTCCATTTTTGACCAAGATTGTTACGGGGTGCGAACTAGTTGCTTTGTTGTGTACGTACCCGATGTGTACGAGTGTCATTTTATTTTGTTTGAGGACTATACCAGCACTTTGTCATTCCTAGTTACGTGGAGAAAGGAATTGTAAGCTGTTATATATATATATATATATGGTAATGACTGGTGTACGTCAGGCGTATACTATACGTCAGGTGATCTAGCTGTTAGATGTACTTAGATGAGCTCCGGCCGATCTCAACGGTCAATTTTTGTTTTTCATTAAATCAAACTTCGGGTTGGGGTTTAGAAAATCGGTGCCTGGGGTTTATCCATTAGAGGTTAGGGTATAGTATCATACCCCAAACTCGACTTAATTCATGGTATAGATAGAGATATGATTTTCTAAACCCCAACCCGAAGTTTGATTTAATGAAAAATAAAAAATTGACCGTCGAGATCGGCCGGAGCTCATCTAAGTACATCTAACGGTTAGATTACCTGACGTATAGTATACGCCTGACGTACACCAGTCATCACCATATATATATATATATATATATATGGTGCCTTCTACAGTACCCCGAGTGAAATCCGGGGTACCGCATACATTGAGTATGAAAACTCTATCTAAACCTCGAATTAACAGGATTTTTGGGCATGATACTATACCGTAACCCTTAATGAGTGAACCCTAGGTCCTAATTATCTAAATCATAAACTATAAACCCTAAGATGGTGCATTGATCTTTTTGCCTCTATTTGGACGAATCATAGCCGTCGATTATTGTTCTAATCAAATTGATCTTGGGTATAAGATTTAGAGAACTAAGACCTAGATTTTGATCTTTAAGGTTTAGAGTAGAGTATAATGTCCGAAATATCAGTCAATTTAAGTTCTAGATAGCGTTTTATTACTCAAGGTATGCAGTACCCCGGATTTCACCCTGGGTACCGTAGAACTGCCCATATATATATTGTTTTCTAGTGATGCCGTAGCTTAGGTTGCAGGGAAGAACCCTAATAAAATTTCAGCCGAAGACACTTTGAGTGAGTCTTTCGTGGATTAGTCTTGCTCTCTAGAGCAAGGATACCACGTAAATTGTTGTGTTCGTGTCTTTACTATTGATATTTCTTATGGTATCAGAGCTGTGAAAAGATCTTTACGACATCCTCCTTTAGCTTTATGGGTTCCGACGATGAGAAGATGAAGTCTCATCCTTCCGCGACGTCGACGAAGGGCGCTGCATGTGCTAGCGGCAATGATTTCCCTCCGGCGTTCGTTCTACACAATCCGAGAAATTTTTTGAAAGATTTTAAAGGGGTACCAACACAGATTTCTAGCAATTTTTCCGAAAAGCCATTTTCTTTAGATTCTGGAGGCTACACATTACGGAATCAGTCCGAGGCTATTCTCCACCGATAATGAAGTCTATTGATCCTATTCTCCACGGATGATAAGTCCATTAAGCACTGATTTGGGCCAATTTATTTTCGGATG